CTTAAGGGAAAAGAGGGGAGAAGGAAGCAAATGCACCACATAGTGTGCATTATAAATCAACCAGCCTTTAAAGCTTTATATTGTTAAGTCTAGTCCTCCTTAATGTGTTTTGTGAATCTCTGTCTTGGATTCTGACAGATGCACCAGCACACCATCACCCCCACCCAGAGCTGTATGAGTGGAAAAAGGCTCTGTATGCAGTTCTTTCATGTTCTAGCACAATTTTCTCTTATGTCAGCAAGACTAAATAGCAACACTCATATGGCTTAATAAGAACTTTGAGAAATTCAGGAGATACAATCAGGGATTAATGTTCCTGAAATATTCCTGTTATCGGTTCTGTTTTCTATCTAGTACTGACTGTGTTCAGGTGAAACACATTGCCCACTCCCGCTCTTTTTTTAAGAAAAAAATTATTGGCAAGACATTTCACAAGTGGTTTGTCTCCATATGAGCATCTACTTTCACTTTGGACAGGCAAAAACTTAAGGATGAGAATTGTACATGTGAGAAAACACAGCTTGATCTTATGTCAGATTTGGCTACTCTTAACCTGAACTACTCTCTGGATTCTGATATGTTAGAGTAGTCTTCAAAACATTAACTAATCCTTTGGGAGTATTTCTGGGTGGCCTTCTAGTATGTACTTTCAGAAGCTCTGTAGAGCTCTAGCCAGCTGTGCTGGGAACCTCTTTGGCTGAGGGAGGTACTTATTAATTCCTGTTCAGAGTAGCAGAAAACCAAAACAGAAGAAAGTTAACATCCAAGATGGGATTGGTTTTGGTTTTTTATTTCAATATTTTGGCCTAGAGTTTATTTCTCATGGTAATGTGGAAAAAAAAGTCATAGCCAGATGTTATCTCAGAGTGAAATTGGTTTTCTTGGGTGAGGGTCCATCCAGTCCTATTTGCTATTGAGAAGCTGCTTTTCTTCTTGCCATGCCTATGTCAAGGAATTCATTATCTCTTTCATTGCCTCACGAGGCATTCGTTTGCTTTTCTGTTCTGTTTCCCCATCTTTGTGTATGCTTATTTCTTCAGCACTGTACTATGAGTTTTTTGTTTCATAAGGCTATTTTAGTACTTAAAAGACCTCAGCCTCTAGCTGTCTTTCCCTCCATCCCTCTACACCCTCTTTTGCCCCCAGGCCTTTTAACATGACTTGCAGAAGTCTTTCCTTTTGGCTTTGTAGTTTTCACACCACTTTCATGCTGCGTGCTAATTTGTTAGGTCACTGGGGCGTTCTGTGATCTTATTTCACCTCTAGGCATCTTCATCCTTATTACTTTTCCTACTGCTGAATCTGGGAATGCCAAATGTGATCCACAGGTCACTTAACTGTGTACAAAGCCTTTGTATGTGACTTAAAAAGCCAGGTATCTGTTTCTTAATTATGCACAGAACCAGCTGACTGTGGTGATTAGGGAGCCTCCTCTGTGTGCTCCAAGACTGGGAGAAATGTTCAGCCCTCAGGCAGCAAGCTCTGTCAGACAGATTTCAAGGTGGCCAAGGTTTTGGTAGCCAAAAAAGGCATGTAACTAAGTATACCAGATGCTAGTTGTGTCCCCTTGCCCTTCTTTTACCCCATAAGGCAGAAGGAAGCTGCTGTAGGAACAGGAAGATGTGCTGTGTTACCAGATGGGCCCCTGGGGAGCAATGGAGTTGGGAACACAAAGGCACTGAACCTTGGAGGGCTGGGAATGTGAGCTGAGGCTAAGGAGCTTTTCCTCTTGCTGTGTGGGTGGTCCTGACTGAGTATTTCAGCCTCTTAGGTTGCCTTGGATTTGGCCAGTTCCACTTGAGCCTGAATAAAGCAATATCACGTTACTTCTGTTAGTACTATAAATACTCCATTACAAATGCATTCTGAGACAGTCACGACCTGCCTGATGACATCCATGAAGAGGACATCCCAAATACTTTGGGAGCCCCAAGTGTAAATCCCATTCCACTTTGTGCCATAAAAAAGAGCCACAATGTTTTTCTCCAAGTAACTGAATTCACCGAGGAAGGTTATTTTTGTAATGGTTATTTGTTTTTTTAAATTCAACTTCTCATGTTAAAATAAGTCTGCAGAATTCTAGAACTGGATGTAAGACTCTTGTCCTAATGCTGAGTTCATCATATTGGCCTATATTCGACCAACCCAGTGAGCAATGGGATTGCAGCAGAAAAAAGGGAGGGCATGCTGTCCTCAGTGCATGTATGTGCACAGAGATACTGCACTGGGAGTCTGAAATGTTCTCTCAGTGGCCTGACTTTGTAGTTTTTCTCTATCTGGGAGTTTCTTTAGTGATATGGATGCTGAGTCCCACTTGCCACTAATGCACTGTTGTCCCTGGGCAACACTATAAAACGCTGCAGGACTTGGGCAAATCCCATTTTTTTTTTTTAATTCATTCAGTTTCTATTTTTCGGTTATTGCCATAATGCAGAGGGGTTCAGTTTGAGGTCAGTGTTCTACAGCCTCCACTTATGCATCTGGATTGTCACGTGCATTGTCTCTGGCCAGGTGTTTGGTTAATAATTGTTCAGTTGACTTGGAAGCACCAAAGAGGAAACAAAGAAGTGGTAATTTTCTTTTACTTCCCTACCTCTGGGAATAGTTTTCTGTCTATATATGTGATTTTTTTGATAAAATGAAAGTTCAGAAAATGCAGTCCCGTAGTGGGATTAGTCATTTCCCCAGCCTTGTTTCATGTGTGAAATAAAGAAATATGTTTTGTCTTAAAGAAGGGTATATCCCTTCACTTAACTAAGTTTATTTTAGCCTGATTTGCTGACAGATACTTGCCTCAACTTCAGCTTGGGGCAGAGAGGGAACAGGCTGTACTTTAGAAGCTGACCTTTAGAAAAGGTAAAGCAAATAGTCATCTGAGGGAGGAGTGGTTGCTATCTTAGGCGTAGTCTATTAAAAATTAGGTTCCTGCCTTCCTGACCCAAACCTGTTGCTTGGTGGGAGTTGGCTGAAATTTCCTCCATTTTATTTTCTTTATTTAGTTTCCCAATTATCTGCTTATGATAATGAACAATAGGTACAACAAAGAAAAAGAGTTTTCTTTCTGGCTTGGGTAAGTTGAACTGGAACAAGGATGCAGGAGAAAATGAAGTTTCAAGCGTCCCTGAACAAGATATTTTCTGTAACACTTTGCAGGTGCACAGGAGCAAATGTGGCAGCTGCTCTGCATCTGCCCTGTGGCAGGTGGGGAAGACACCTGTACAAATAAGGGGACAGAGCAAAGTGTTATTGCGGTGAACTGAGTGCTCTCTCATGACTGGAGTATTGACTGTTTATGTCAGTTCAGTCAGGATACCCCTTAGAGCAGCATTGTAGCTGGGACTGAAGTCCCAGAAAAAATGTAGAATGATTTCCTAAGAACTTTCATTCCACCTGCAACAGGAAGAAGGAATGTTTTCTTGTTTCAGCATCTATAGTATACAGTGTCACATATTAGGCTGAAAGAGCATCTGTAAAAATTTGGCTTCTGCTTGAGATGTGCTTTTATCTGGAAGGTCTTTAACACCTTACATGAAGTTAGTGGTTATTTAGCTGAACTGGTCTCTTTGAAACCGAATTGCTGACCATGCTGTTCAAACACAGCTGTGAAGGCCAAAGGGCCCTTCACTTGCAAACTGCCATTTTTGTTTGTGTGCATATCTTTTTAATTACTACAGCTGTTAAAAAGGTGTCATTTCAGGGCAGTAAAAGAGGAAGATTTTGCTTTTACTGAAGCTAGGATGAACCTGAAGCTAGGAATTTAGGGGCAGGATTTACAACTGAGCTGCTGGATTATCCTTTCTGTGAGGAGAATATTGCAGATTAAATGGTGTCTCTGGTCTAGTGCAACCACTGGTATTCCTCTCACTTGCCATCAGCTGGAATTTTGACTGAATTCTGCAGCAAGCAAACCTGCATCTGTCTCTTACTTACAGAGGTGCATATGCACAGTCGTTTGCTCATGCTTTCTCTCTCTCTCTCTTAATATGATAGTAACTTTAAAAAGTGAACAGGTTTCTTGCGGGAATTATTTTTAGTCCTCTTACAGTGTGTTTTAAGGAAGCAGGAATTTAGACATGAGACCATGTCTTTTGACTCCTTGACAAATTCTAAGCTGTTAGTGTTCAGTTCAATTCTTTTTGTAATGGTTTTCTTTATTTATTTTGTTGTAATTCATTTTTTTCAGCTTTAAATCTAAGTTTCATGTCTTCACAGGCTTATTTTCGGACAGTAGAACTTATTCAGGAGCCTATTCCTGGCTCACCAGGCCTGAGTTTCTACTTCAGAATCAATGGCCGACCCATTTTTCTGAAGGGCTCGAACTGGATTCCTGCAGATTCTTTCCAGGACAGGGTGACCTATGACACGTAAGCCACATTTGATGTTCTCTAAGGATAAAGGATCATGTTTTCTTCCTCCTGATTCTCTATACAGGCTTTATGAAAGGTTGGCTTTAGTGGGTGGAACTGCTTTCAAGGTAGGGCGCTGATTATTGTGGGTTGGAGCTTCAGAATTAGGGCTTAATTAACATGAATAGATTGGAGTGTCAAGGCATGTAGGTGAGATTACTGATGGGAAGGTGAATTTTTGTAATTCATGGGTTACTGGCCTTTTGGGTATTTTTATGGGGACTATGCTGTACTTTGACTAAACTTTGCTCTGGGTAGTTGGGGAACTAGGACATCAGGGCGTTCTGCAGTGTGCATTCATATGCAGTTTAGAGGCTGCCAGTATGATTTAAAGAAAAATGTCTGGAGCCTGAAACCCTTAAAATGAGATTCAGGATCTCAGTATTTCTCCTCACCCTCTCATTCCCCCTTTCTCATTATGCACTGTGGAACACAGGAAGAGAATATACGTGTCTGATTGTGTTTAAGGGAGAATTTGAATTCAAATGATTGACATATAAAGCAAGTAATAGCTAAGAAGAAAAGGAACAATATGATTAATAAAATAGAGTATTTCTAAATCTAGTCGTTCCAATAGTTCTGTAAAAGCACTTACATGTCACTCATCTATGTAGTAAACATTAACAGGAACAAGCAACTTTTTCTGCACAAAAAATTACTTTTTGAGAGCTCCGTCGAGACATGCAGGCTTAGAAACCAGAGTATTTTGATACTTTCTGTCAAAGTTATAAGTCTTAGTTTACCTGCTAACGATTTAGGTTTTGAGTTTTTGTTTGGCCTGTTTGTTTCTTTGTTTCTTTGTTTGTTTGTATAACCTTAGAAACTCCTAAGTGATACAGTTTCACAAAACTTGTATTTTACAGATTAAGGCTACTCTTGAAGTCTGCAGCAGATGCTAACATGAATGCACTTCGGGTTTGGGGAGGAGGAGTATATGAACAAGATGAATTTTACGATATTTGTGATGAAATAGGACTAATGGTAAAAGCAATAAATACAGAACACTTATTTAAAAACTGACAAGAACTTGTAAATGAAAATCTGTTTTAAATTAACCAAAATAAGAGAATTAATACATGCATTCTGACCATCTTTCCATAGGATATTGTAGAGTATCAACCTGAGAAGTTAGATCAACCTGTTTTTTATTTGGTTGGCTGGTTGGGTTTTTTAATTTCTTTTTAATTTGAATGGTTTCTGATTTACAGAGGCTGTGTTGAATCTGGAAGTGATATTTTGGAGACTTTACAGAAGTCTGTAGAAGTTAGCCGTGCTTTTCTCAGTTGTGGAAATGTATTTTATTCTTTTAAAACTGTTTTTTCCTTTATAGCAATTGCAGAAAAGGTTTGAGTTTTTTTTGGTTCAAACTTTTCACTTGTCCCAAAGTCAAACATGGAAGGCTTCATCCAAACAACCATTTTGAACAAGCTACATTTGAGTATGAATGTAGCAGTAAGGGAACACCTACTGCAATCACTAATCCTAGATGAGTACCTTCGATTCTATGAGCTTGGAGACACTTAAGTGTTGATGAAATAGTGACTAGATAAATGAAGACCAAATTGCATCTGTTATTAAAAATCCTGGCAAGTGTGTTTGGTCTTGCTCTGCAGCACAAAAATCAGGGAAACAGATCTCATACCTTGCTGCCTTCCATATGTGCTTGGAAAAAAAAAAAAGTTACATCTATTTTAGTCATCTGAATAAGTGTCCTGATTTTCAAGGCTTCTGAGGACTTACAGTTCTTTCATTTTTGACACCATGCACCTTAAGTAGGCCACTTAGATCTGTGCCTGTACAGTGCTCAATGCAAGATTTAGATCCTATTTAACAGCCAAAATAGCAAGTAGATGCAGAAAATCACATCCTTTTTCTGGAGAGGGTGGTGACGGAGGTTTTTGGTTTTGTTTCTTCTGATGGTCTTGCAAAGGCTTTAAAGTGCCTTGGAGTCAAACTGTGCTTAAAGAAAACCAGTGATACCTCACTGAGGGAAATAGTGAGAGTGATTTCTGATAGGTATCACTGATACCTATCACTGATTTCTCTCAGTGATACCTCACTGAGAGAAAGTTTCTTTCAAAAGAGAATTTTGATTCCACACAGTCAGTAAAGGATTATGACTGACTCTTTGGCAATAGCTTTGCTTTTGTGTACAGTGTTAGGATTTTAGCAATTATTAATGGATCTGTTACCCCCCACTGTCTTGTGCCCTATCTTCAGTTTTTTTTAGGGAAGGTATGCTGAAAAGAGCCATGGAAAAGCATGTTCTCACTGCAGTCAAAATGCAATTATGTGAGGAACTGATCTGTCTCTCTCTGTATAGTATGGTGTTCAGAAAATTGTAGCCTACAGACTCCTTTGGGCTAATATGCTCCTTGTAGAGGTCTTTCCATTAACATTTGCGATAGACTAGCAGGAGTCTCAAAGTTTCAGCAATTTAATAAACAGAACAGGTAAACAAGAAATCTGAACCATCTCACTGGGCTTCTTTCCATCCTCTTTTTTTTGTAATTCTTCTCCTTCAAGGTACAAATGGAGTTTATTGTTGTTGAATTGGAAGGCTTGTTCTCTAATGATATCTGCTTGATTGTTCTTTGAAGAGAAAGATCACTGTGGTTTTAGAGTATCTAGTTTGTTTCTGCCCCTCTTACTGTGTAAGATTTGCTATTTTTTGGGATCATTTTGTGCAGAAGTGTTTTCTTAATGAGTACACTTTAACATCGGTTGAGTGTGCTCGATACCATGCTGGAAGAATTACTGTCTCTTCTCATTAAGTAACAGAGATTTGGTGTTACACCTGCAAAGTAGTAATTCAAAGCTGTTCTGTTCAGCTGCAGATTGCCCCATGTTCATGTTTCTTATTATTCAGTTGAAACTTACTGAACTCCATCTACTGAGCAGTATTGCACTCCTCAGTGTAGGCTGTCAGGATCTGATTCCTCTGATATTGAGGATAACCACAGTGGAGTGTGCACCTCCTGAGGAGGACATGATTGTTTTGGTAGTGCTTTCCAAGAATAACAAATAAAACATTGCAGTTTAATTTTTTTAAAAAATAACTTCTGTCTGAACAAAGGATTGTGCATCCCAATAATCATGTATTTTTCAGTTATGTAAAATAATTTGCTATTTTTTTTTTTTTAATATTTCCTTTTCCCTGTAGATTTGGCAGGATTTTATGTTTGCCTGTGCACTTTATCCAACTGACCAGGATTATTTAGCATCTGTGAGAGCAGAAGTTCTTCATCAGGTATTTGTTCCATGTGTCAAAGTTCTGTTTCCCATTACCTATTTTTGACTGACCAGCTGTATAAATTAGCTTTCCAGAAGTGGTTTTTTGGAAGTGTTTGATAGTGTACCTTTATGTAGCAGTATACACATAAAACATAACCTTGCTAAATCTTCTACTACTTGCAGGAATAGTCAGTCAAGCAGACTGCACAGAATTTACCCTTCACATGTGGCTAAGTAGATGAGGACAGAGGTACATATGTGCCTATGCTAGATATATGTCAGCATATTAGAAGTTTACCCTTCTGAAAGTGTATATTACAAAAGATTGAGCCTGGTGGTAAGCAGAGGGAATAGTGACCAGTGCAGCTAAAAATGGGAATTGTAGGCTAAATGTATGTAATATGCATGTGGACTTGTAATTCAAGTAGTGACAAAGTGATTTTTTTTTTTAAATATTTTTTAAGATATGTAATTTTGCTTGACTCCTGAAACCGTAAGTTGTATTTCAGGTACGACGTTTAAAATCTCATCCATCAATTATTCTTTGGAGTGGTAACAATGAAAATGAAGCAGCAATTTCAAAGAACTGGTTCTATATACCTCGTGCCCAAAGAGAAATCTATATCAGAGACTACCTGATGCTTTATGTGAAGAACATACGAGAGACAGTTCTTAGTGTAAGTGATCTGAAGAAACTCTAGGGGAATATGCCTTGGCAAATGGTTTTAAATTGGGATTTTCTTTTTTAATCCTTTTGAGAAATTAAACCCAGCACATCATTGAGAAATTGCCTTTTCAAAGCTCTTCTAAACAACTCTCTAAACTTAAGGGTTATTCTCAGAGTACAACAGTCCAAAAAATTACTTATGCCTTTAGCATTTAGTGATATGTAAAGGGAGACCTGAAAATGTAGTGGATCTTGCTTCTTTTTTCCTTCTGATATTTAATACGTCCACGAATGCCTTCACTGCCAGTGGACAAAAATTCACTTGCCCATTAATTAATCAATCTAGATGATTGGGTTTCCTTTATGCTGATTTTGTTGAAGGATACTGTAAGTAGCATCTAACAACCCTCTGGTCTTCTAATGGCAGCTGAAGAAATCCACAAATATGTCACTTTTTCAGTGTGCTCTTCCAGTATTTGACTGAAGTTTTCTGGCTTAAGCAGATTAAGCAAAAGTGATGCTAAACATTGTCCTCATGCTGATCTCCTCATTATATTGTGTGTTTTTGAAAGAACAAAATAGTGGTATTCTACAGTACATGAAAGCAAAAGAAAACACTTTGAGGTAAAACTAAACCTGTGATCATGCGTTCCACAAACACGTGGAATCGGTCAAGTCTACTGTGATTTGGTACTACCTGTTTTGCACAGCTTTTGTAGTTTTATTTCTCCTCCTAGAAGTATTGCAGTTCTTTAATATTTATTGGAATCTACTTTTACCCAACCTTTTAGTGTGTATGTAGTGAAATTGATTGAAAAGTCCCAAATTGATGTCACATAACTAACTGTATACTGATTGACAAATAATTCTTCAACCACAGGGAATTCTAAATTTTTCTGCTAGATAAGAGACAAAATACTGTAAGAATTTTGTCCAGTTAGAACTTTCTCCTTCAACAAGAGTGTGAGTTTTTATTTACCTAAAAATGCTAGTGACCTTTTCCTACCTACTTATCCCTTGTATAGTATGATCTTAACTGACTTTAGGGTACAATAATTTTGGTCTCTGTCCTGTTGAGGATGAGATGCATTTAATATTATAAGGCTCATGACCTGACATTTTTCCCTTTGCTAAGACAGACAGTGACAGCAGTATTATTGCTTGTCATAGGAGGCTGCTGGCATTGTCAGTGTGGTTGTACTCTGAGAACTTAGAATTTCTTTCTACAGGAAAAGATATGAGGAATCAACAAAAATGAAACCAGGTTTAAAAGAACCTGCTGAAAAGAATCCTGCTTTTGAAGGCAGTTTTGCATTCTAAATGGTAATGGTGTCTTATATTCCTGCTTAGTGTATTGATTCTAGATTTCTATACTGAGTTGTTTGTAGAGGTATGCTGTGGTGTATCTGTGATTAGCCACAGGAGTTGGATGGCCAGTGCATGTGTAGCAAAGTGAGGTGTTCTGGTTTGATACTGGGTTTTAGTTGCAGTTCACTTGTGCAGCATTGCCATCCAAGATGGACCCTCTTTTATTTTAAAGCCATAGAATAACTGTTTTCAGTGCCAGAAGGAACCATACAGTGAAATAACTTCAGGTCCTGTATAATACAAGCCAGATGAGGAAACCTGTAACTATTAGCAATACTGGACTGTATAATTTCAGAAGACTTTCAATGTTCAGCTAAAGACTTTAGGGAATCCAGGATATCCTGTAGTAACTTTCAGTTAATTATTAATTACTTGTGTAAAAAAAAAAAAAAGTATGGGGGAACAGAACTGTTTCTTGAAATATGAATCACATGTCCAAGTGTGTTGCTGTATTGGAGCCAATTGCTGTAACTTGTGAACTTGTGACTGGTAACCAACTCAAGCCTCTGTCTTACTGCAAGAAGGGTGCTAAATGAATTATACCTGCAAAAGGATTCCTTCAGTACTTTGTAGGGTAGTGTTAAAAGATTAAGTATTTTAAGTCTGCTTAGGCTATAAATAAAGGCAGATCTGAACAATTTGAAAGGTAACCCTTCTTGTAGTCCCATCTATCTTAATATGCAGAGGCAGCTAAAATGACAATAACCTATAATGATACCATCCAAGCATTAGAAGCAGAACACCTTGGATTTATTAGGACTAAATTTAGGTGACTGTTTAATGAGAAAGGAGAAAAATCATGGCCTTGTTCCTGCAAAAACACTGCAAAAGTAATAATTTTCCGTGAAGAAGTCACAAAGCACACTTTAAATAGCCTTCATTAAGAATTTAAAAGTGTATAAAGATAGAAATTCTCTTGATGTGAGGAGAGAATCCCTCAGAACAGCGGAGCAAGCAATATCATGCTCAGCTGTCCTCCAGTAACATAAGTAAGAAGCTAATTAAGCAAGTAAAGATGATGAATGTTAGGACATAAAAGGGAATGTTTCCTAGGTGGTGACTCAGAAATATGGAAAAGGCATGTTCTCCCTGCCCTGCCTTTTCAAAATGTGGTCTATGTGTATAGATGATGAAAGCCAATCACTTTGTGAGGGTGTTGTGGTTTTGTGGTTTTTTTTTAAATCCCAGGAAGATAGGAGTCGTCCTTTTATTGCATCCAGTCCCACAAATGGCTTGGAGTCAGTTAAAGAAGGTTGGATCTCCCAGAATCCTTATGATACCCATTATGGTGACACTCACTTTTATGACTACAACAAGGACTGCTGGAACTGGACAGTGTATCCTAAAACTCGTTTTGCTTCAGAATATGGGTTCCAGTCCTGGCCTTCCTTCAGTACAATCGAGAAGGTAAGGCTGGGCTTGCACGCCTTACTGTCTCCTCCTCTCTCATTCAGTGAGGGCAGTGAGTCTCTTTCCAACAAACTACAGCATCGGAACTGTAGTTTGGATTAGTATAAGGTGTGGTATGGCACAGGTGGGATAGAGGTGTGTGGTGGTGTGGAGGAAGGGGATGAAACTGCACTGTTTCCCTCCACAGTGTTCTTGATGTTGCAAGGGGAACCTAGTTTAGGTGAGAGACTGTTATGAGACTGTTAGTTTTAACAGTAATTATACTTAATGTATAGCTTAGTAATGATTGCCTAACATCTGTTTCCTCTTGTAGTGTCTAAGGACGTGTGTTCGTTAAGAAAGAGAAGAAACATGACAAAAGCTGAACTGTGATGGATTTTAAAATGTTTTGATTTTTGTAAATTTTAGCAATTTCTTTCACATAAATAATTCACTTCTTAATGTACTGCACATAAGAGGATTTGTTTGTCTCCTGTTGAATTTAGATATTTTATGTTCTATCATTTTTATCCAGTGAGCAGAGACATATCATGCTGTTTGTCCATTTATCTAGGGAGAGATGAGTATCATATGAATATTCATGCATCAACCAAAAGGAGTTCAGAATGTTCTTTTAAATTTGCTGGGAAAAATATATAATCTGAAGCATAATCAGAACATTCATCCATATTAATAACAATGAAAATTATTCAATCCAGTCTAAAAAGGAACAAGTTTAAATAGAAAGATTCTATAGAAATTGTAATTACAACAAAAGCTTGGCAGTAATAACTGTATGAATTATGCTGCATTGTTGTCCTTAGTTGAAAAAAGATGGTTTATGATCATATGTTTTCAGAGGCAGGTTTTGAAAATATATATACACATTATTAGAATTTATAACCCTCCTGACTTCTGTAACTTTTATGCGTAAATATGTCTGACTAAGGTGCATTCTTCCATGTTAATTGAGGGTGTTTCTGATTTACTGTGAGTGCAAGCAAAACTTGCACTGAGATCCTTGGCCAAACTGAACCTTAGGACAAATAACTTAATGCCACTGAGCCAAAAGTTGCTCTTCTGGCTTCAACAGTATTGCTTGTTTTCATCTGTTTGTACAAGGAGTGTAAGCAAAGGGTGTTATTGATTCGAAATCCTTGAGTGACTACATGAGGCACTGTAGAAAACTACTACCAATTTTAAGGTTTTGCATGATGCCAGCAGGCTGTAACGGGTATCTTTTCCTTGATATCCTGACGGTCATTAAATGTACATGTTACCTTTTCGTTCTGATACCTTACTTTTGTGGTTTTTAAAAGGTTTCTTCTGCTGAAGATTGGTCCTACATAAGCAATTTTTCTCTCCATCGGCAACACCACGGCAGTGGCAACATTCAGATGCTTCAAGAAGTTGCGTATCATTTCAAGCTTCCCCAGAGCACAGATCCTGTAAAGAGGTTCAAAGATACAATTTACCTCACTCAGGTAACAGTGATGTCTTCTATGTAGGTAGCTGCCAGTTCCATTAGATTCTGTCAGCGGTTAGAGCTGGACCTGTTCTGTTAGGTAATGTCAGTCATACAGAAAGCTTGTATACTGAAGCATTTGAGAGTCCATTTCAATTTGGAAATAGCTTCTCTATTGGAGGGTGTGTTTTGCTCTTCACGTGGCCCCTGTAAGTTTGTTGCTTTGATTTTTACCACATGGAACACACATGCTTTCAAAACAAGATTTTTTTTGTAGAGAATGTAGTTGTCTATGAATTAGATTATTAGTAGCTTTAATTTTGTTATGGGCTCAGATATTGATATTTTAGAAAATATATTTTGGGCTTTTTTTTCAAATCGGGAGTTTATATTTTGCTCTTCATCCATAGTACTTTTATCTCATGCTTTTTTTTTTATTTGTGATTTCTATGCAAGTTTTAAAAAATGTTAAGTAACTTTTGGGTGCTATTAGGCAAGTTTAAAGTGCTGTTATGAGAGTTTCTGCAGGGTTAAGTCTGTCAGGGCCTTACTAACAGGTTCAACCATTGAAGAATACCAAAATAAAACTAGCAAAAAGAATAAAGACAGTAAACTTGGCTCAAGTAGTTAACTAGAACTGATATCTTTACCTTTTGAGCTGTCCTAAAGATTTTTAACTTTATTTTAAGAATTCCTTTTAATACTTCCCCAGCCTAGTAATGTGCTTTGTGAAGAACATAACAGGCTGTTTAACATCTGTTGACAACTTGGCCAATGGAAAATTCTGAAAAGTGTTTTTTAGATGAAGTGAGGAAAGAGAAAAGAAGTGGGAGTGCAGATGAAGAAAGGTTGCCCTTTTGGTGCAAAGTTTTGGCTTTATAGTGGAATGTGTGTTGTAAGTTCAGATCATAGGGGTTTAGACATCAAGGGAATATATACTGGAGGTAATGCAGCATAATATCATTTGGCAGCTCTTGGGGGTTTAAAGTTAAATGTGCTGCTGCTGTGAAGTGTGTGTTGTATGTTAATATATTCACACAGTTTGAAAGAAAGTAGAATACAATATACCAGAAATAATTTTTTTGTGTTTGTTGATCAAGGTGATGCAGGCTCAGTGTACAAAGACAGAAACTGAATTCTATCGTGCTAGTCAAAGTGAAATAATCAAGGGAGAAGGACACACAATGGGAGCTCTGTACTGGCAACTCAATGACATTTGGCAGGCACCTTCATGGGCCTCCTTGGGTAAGTTTTTGTGACAGTCTGGTGAAAAGCACCAACTACCAGCCTTGCTTTGTTTTTCTCATCTGGAAATATCAGAATAAGAAGTACGGCTCTGCTCTGTCTCTTGGATGACTTTACAAACCCTGAACATATTTCTGTCCATCCTTTAGAAATGCTTTTGAGAAAGGTGTGTTTTCAGGATCGTCCTAATAGTCTGTGAAAGTGGAAGAGGGTATAGAACAAAGCAGTTATTTTCCTATGGAAGTTTTGCAGCTCAAATTTAGGAATCACCAATTCTTACCCTTATTTTAGCAGGGTTTAGTTTGGAGAAGTAAAATTGTATGCAGCTCTTAATTTCTTAAAAATACATATTTTTCTGTTTAAGCAGTATTCTTATTTCTCTCAAGGAAATAATATCATTGAAACCAGACTAAGCTGCCTATTAGGAAGGAGTGATGGTTAAGACTGAGGGCACAATCCCCTTGTGAAGTGAACTTCCAACTACCCTTCCTTTTCTTACGTAGATGTGGATCCTCCCAACTGTATGTAATACATCTTCCAGGTTTTTCCAGAAAAAAAAAAATCCCTTTGCAAGCTAATTATTTTAAAATTACAAAAATCAATTATTTAAAATTTGGAGACTTCTAGTAAATTCTATTTTCAAAGGGGAAGTCCCTGATTATATTTATTGTCTCAGCCGTACAGATGCATCTGTGCACCCAGCCACCCACGGTGAGAATGGACAGAGGAGGAGGTAGCTGTGTAGGAGAGTAAGAGGAAACACTCATATATAATTTTACTTTCTGTAATCTCAACAAAATTGATTGATTTTGTTCTCTCTCCCCCCCCCCCCCCCCCCCCATGGTAAAAGGATCAAAACCTCTCCCTTGAGCTGCCAATAGTGCACTGTCAAAAAACACCAGAACTGTGATGCTATTCTCAGCAGGATGGCATTTACAGGGTAAAGACTGGACCTCTAGTTTTCTTCTCTAGTCAGTTGAGGGAGAGATGGTTATCTCCAAACGTGATTCATTGTGTCCTTAGCTGTCTGATAACTAGGAGGAATTATCTTCTCTGTGCTAAATGTGATTTTCATAGAACTTTATATGAAACCTCTCACCCAGCAGAGCTTCTGAGAAGCCCTTTATAGGAGATGACTAGCTGGGATTTGGTGTCTAACATGATGTCAGATGGGGTGGATCACTCTTTGTGACTAAATTATTCTGCTAATGTGCTATTTACACACATGGTATCTCCTTATATATTATATATATTATATATATTTTTTTTTCTTTTTAGAACACAAAAATAGGGTAATCAGACATATAAAGAGATAAGTCACTCAGGCAGTAAGAAATAGAGGAGGAATGAGGAGTGTGTGGTATGAGGAAAGTGGCTGTGTTTCATGTTCAATTTTGGCTAGAAGTCATTTTGTGAGGGAGAACTGTTTTATGGCAGCTGTATAGGACTAGGGTATATTCTCTTTCAATTTTAGTTATTTCTTAAATATTCTAATTTTGAAAATCTTGATTTAAGCATTTCATGAGTGTGAAGAAATAAGAGTGAACTAGAAAAAACTAAGAGTGTGAAGCTCTTGATCTGTCCTTAGAACAAAGTGCCACTTGCCCTTCCTTTGAAAAAAAAGAATTAGCTCACCTCATCCTTTCTGTCTTTCTCTGCTCTCCCTTTTTGGTTTTTTTTCTTTTTTTTTTCCATTTGTTCATCCAAACAAAATAAGTGCAACAACAATGGAAAACAAATTAGTAGAAGAAACAGGCTAATTTATTTAAATTTCAAGGCAATGGCCTAGCTGTAGTGCTCATCTTTTGGGACTTTCTAGGCTTGTGTTAGGAAATACAGTATCACCATGTTCATTTTTATGATTCTAGCATTGGGTGATACTCTGAAGCCTAAAGTACCTCAAGGGGAAAAGATGCTTGGAAAAATGTCTCTTTGTAAAGACAGGTGTATTGATAGATGAAGAGATCGTGGGGACCATGAATGTCTTTTTAAGTGCAGAGCTGACATCACTGTAGAAAATATATCAAATACTTGAATTATTCATGTGTTGCTGAAGTTGGTTTAGAGAAAAGAAGCTCAGCAGAGATACAGCTGTCCCTTTGTTTTGTTCTATTCCCTCAGTGGAATGAGGAAAGGTTTAATATTCATTTAATTAGGCAGTGTGGTAGGGGGATTTTGAAATGCTAATGGCTGGAATTATGCAAAACTTCGGAGAAATTAGTTTTATTTGCACTTCAAAACCACGTTTCTGCATCTTGTTAGATGGCAAAGTAGTACCACCAGTGAGTGCTTTTATTTAAATCTGGTATTTCACAGAGAGCCATGGAGGGGCTTACATAATTTCCCCTACAAAGCAAAAATCTTTCCTCATGAAGTGGGGAGGGAAGAAGGTAGTGAGTGTTTATCCTTTTAATTTTTACCTTTAAGATGTTTGCTTGGGATTGAATGAAAACACAGCGCTGCACTGCTGTCATAGTACTCCTGCCTTCAGCTCAGAACTAAACAGCTTTTATCACAGCTGGGTTTTGACTGTTAGCTGTTAGCTGTGGAGCAGGTTGTGCTATGTTGAATGCTTTAGCATCTATGCTGTATGTTTTGGTGAAGAGTGCTGTGATACACATGGCAATTTATCTCTCTCCCACACGAGTGTAACCTTGAGGGACCCAACTCAGTTGTCACAAGGTTCCCTTGAACAGATAACTGGCTTTTATTGCAGGTTCAATATTTAGAGCCCCCGGTAAGCCCTGGTACAGGCTATTATGGAGAATAATTGATCTGAATTCGTGAGACTGGGGTGAACAAAGAACGAACAGCATGTTTCTTGGGTTGTATTTAATGGTGTGAAGTGATGAATTTAAAATCATTTCAGGCAGAACTGTTTGTTTTCGCTCTTGCTATCACTGTAGAAGCTTCAGGGAGGAGTCAGAAAAAAGGGTAAGGAGGTCTCATTACAAATCTAATTTTAGTTTCCTGTTCTGAAGTTTGATACTTCAGAGAGTACCAACCCCATGTTATCAGGAAAAAATTGGGGAACTTGGATCTCTTTAAGAATTTATTTAAATGTGGTGGGAGGAGGAGAAAACAGCCCCAGGGCTGTTTTAAATAACTTTTGACTCTTGCCTTTGGGCACACATGTCTCTAACAGGAAAGTTTAGGCCCAGAGGTTTCTCACGATAGCTACCTGATCTTCAGATTTCTTACATCCATTTTTTTGGGGCGGAGGTGGGAGGGCATTTATATGCAACTTGCCTGTTTTTAAATAAGAAATGTGGCAACAGATGAGCGAAAGAATGTGGGTTTTTTTTAATCAGCGACCTTCAGTTTTCTCTGCTGCCTGAAATTACTTTGACAACTGTATAACCAAGATCCTGTTGCTGGAAAAGTTTTATTTGAAAGACACTTCCTGTGTGAAACTGCTACAACAGTTGAGCTTTGGTTCTTTAGAGTGGCTCTAGGTTTTTTGGAAAGGGAAATATCAACCTTGCAAAGCTGATCTGAGGTAAGCAGACTGGTGATGCTTTCAAACATTCCAAAACAATAGGTGTAGTGGTAGTAGAATGGTTTTTTGAAATGGTACAAACTTTTAAGTGTGTGGTTTGTTTGGTTTTGTGTGTTGGTTGGAGTTTCTGTTGTTTTTGTTTCCCTGTGGAAGTGTAATGTCAGATTTACTCTGAGTTTTTTCCTCCTCTGTACAGGTTTCTTGAGGATCTCTGTATCTGCTGCCCAGATAGCAAACCTCTTTCCCTCCAGTAAGCACTGCAGTGTGGTTCCAACCGTGTAACCCATTTGGAAATCAAGGCACAGCAGAGACTGAGAAGGGCCCATTCAAAGAGAAACACAATTTTATATTACACAAAGTAACAAAAACTGCCCTGCATCAATTGCATTACTGATTTACATATTTAAGACAGTTGAAGCCTAGATTTTCATCATGTAAATTAAGCTCAGGAAAAAAATTCGAGTCAATGGGCACTGAAACCACAGTCCATGCTGTGTAATTTCTCTGAACTCTGATGGGCTGTGTTGGGAGTCTGCAGTGAGCAGCATCTGTTGCACTGGCAGTTGAAATTCCTGAGAGTCCTGTAGCAGTCCTGAGAGTTTTAGAGATTTCAACCCCTCACAGACCCTCTCAGCCCATTTCTCATATGAGACCCAGTGCTTTTATTTGTTAGATCAGATTCTGCTCTACAGTTTACTCTCTTTCAGATAATCCATCCCCAGTCCAAATCTCTGATCATCTCAAGTGTAATGACCCTGAAGAGTAATTTGTTAGCACTCCCTGTTATTGGCAGATTTGTCCTTTAAACCACCAATATTTTCAGTCAGGAATTGTCCTTGGAATACTAGAACATGGCTTCATTCTTATCACTAGAAGATCAGGTCCAACCAGCATGGGTTTATGAAAGGCAGGTCCTGCTTGACCAACCTGATCTTCTATGACAAGGTGACCCAATTTGGTGGATGAGGGAAAGGCTGTGGATGTTGTCATCTGGACTTTAACACCCATTTCCCACAGCATTCTCCCGGAGAAAAAGACTGCTTGTGGTATGGATGGCTGCACTGTTCACTGCAAAAGCAAACTGGCTGGATGGCCGGGCTCAGAAAGTGGTGCTGAATGGACTTACATCCAGCTGGCGGCCGGTCACTAGCAGGCTTCCAGAGGGATCAGCCTTGGGGCCAGCCCTGTTTAATACCTTTATTATTGATCTGAACAAGGGGATTTACTGCACCCTCAATCAGTTTTCAAACATCAAGTTGGGTGGGAGTGGTAGGAAGGCTCTACAAAGGGATCTAGATTGATGTGCCAAGACCAGTTGTACAAGGTTCAACAAGCAAAGTGCCAGCTCCTACACTTGGGCCTCAACCACCCCATGCAGAGCTACAGGCTGGGGGTAGAGTGGCTGGAAAGCTGCCTGGAGGAAAAGGACCTGGGTGTGCTGGTTGACTTAAGACTAAACATGAACCAGCAGTGTGCACAGGTGACCAAGAAGGCCAATGGCATCCTGGCCTGGATCAGAAGTAGTGTGGCCAGCAGGAGCAGGGCAGTGATTGCCCCTTTCTACTCAGCACTCATGAGGCTGCACTTTGAATTCTGTGTTCAGTTCTGGACTCCTCACTACAAGAAAGACACTGAGGAGCTGGAGCAAGTCCAGAGAAGGGCAACAGAGCTGGTGAAGGCTCTGGAGCACAAGCCTGAAGAGCAGATGAGGGAGCTGGGATTGTTTAGCCTGGAGAAAAGGAGGCTCAGGGGTGACCTTACCAATCTCTGCAACTACCTGAAAAGAGGTTGTAGCCAGGTGGGCATCGGCCTTTTCTCAAAAGTAACAAGTGACAGGACAAGAGGACATGGCCTCAAGTTGTGCCAGGGCAAGTTTAGATTGGATCTTAGGAAAAATTTCTTCACCAAAAGGGTGGCCAGGGTTGCCCAGGGAAGTGGTGGAGTCACCATCCCTGGAGGTATTTACAAGTTGTATAGATGTGGCACTTAAGGACGTGATTTAGAGGTGCATTTGGCAGGTGAACAGTTAATGTCATGATCTTAGAGGTCTTTTGCAACATAAATGGTTCTACAGTTCCATATACTGAGCAGAACCAATATACTGAGTATGTTCATCAGTTCGTCAGCTGTCTGTTTTGAAGAAGCTCAGCAGCCTCTCCTGAAGTTTTCGTTCAGACTTACCTCTTTGGTTTGCTTCAGTACTATTAATTTGAATGGTGTTTTTTCTGGCAACGCACTGATCTCACAGCACAGTTGAATCTTGTATGGGTTTTCCAGGCAGATTTGAGCTTTTCTTGTCTGTACTCCAAGCTAGCTGGTTGTGAACTCGCTGAGAACAAGGTGATGTGTAAGGTGATAAGCTGGAGCTAATGCACTTTGCTCTCCTCAAAGTTCATTTGTGTCTATGTGGAGTGCAGGCAGAGCATATTCAAGTCATCCTGGGAAAGTCACAAACACACCCTTTAAAGGATACATCACTCTGAATGAAGTCTTTAATTATGAGATGTTTGAAAATGCTAAGAGCTTTGTACAGGCACCAAAACACAGAGAGGTAATTAGTTACAAGAAAAACATATTACTGCAAATATTTTTCAGCATCCATGGACTTAAAACCTGTTGTATAAAACTAAGAGCCAAAACTAAGAATTAAATCAGTATCTAACTTTTCTTTCCTTATGAGATGGTGCAGCTGACTTGCTACTTCTTTTTAGTGCTGTTTCAATGACTGGATAATGATTGAGCAAAGACAGACTTAAAATGCTGATGGTGGGTGCTAGATGGAAGGTTAATAGAGGAAGAAATGGAAGCAGCTTTTCTTCCAAAAGGATTATGTGGCACTATTGTATCTGGCAAAATTGCTTTTATTTGGAGAGGACACAGTGTTTGATGGCTTTTCCAGTTTAATGGCAGACTTTCAAAGCATTAAAAGTAATGAGGTACATCTCATTAAAGAGGCAGTGTGAACTGATTGGCATATGTCTGTCATGGATACTAGCTCTCATGAAGTAAGTGTTGTCACTACATCTTGGCAAACTCATTTTGCCAAGCTCGGAGTTGTCTTTGGTTTGACAACTTGTTTTGTTGTCTTTGTTGCTATTGATGTTCCTCTAAGAAAGAGGGGGAGGGAAAAAGGGGAAGAAAGCGCTTTGTATGAGCACCAAAAGTCAGATTCTGGTGTCTCTTTTTATAGTAGTGCTGGTTTGTGGCAATGCCAGTGTGTTTGGATCCTCAACAACATAGATGCTCTTGCTGCTTACCTTATGTTGTGGTATGCCGTGTCAGTTTTGTCACTTGTGTTTAAGGCTTTGTTTAGCTGAATGGCAGCATAACAATGATAGGGCCAAGAGGTAGAAAATTTAACCTTTTGGTGAAGTTCAAAATAAAGCTTCAAAGAACAACAAATCTTTTTTAGAGTAGAGCCTTGCCTGGAAGGGAGCTAGAGTACCTTCAGTCATTTGTTGCACTTGGTAGAGGTAAAAAAGGGTGGAGGAGGATGTTGTATTGCCATAGCAGGACCAGAAAGCACAGGAAGAGATTGAGTGCCAAGGCAATCTTGGATTCAGTTTGAATCTTTCTTCCTTTTAACCCTTTACAGAGTATGGTGGTAAGTGGAAACTGCTCCATTATTTTGCCCAGAACTTCTTTGCACCACTGCTGCCTGTGGCCTATGAAGACCAAGGTGTGTTGTACATTTACGGTGTCTCAGATCTTCATGAGGACCAGAAGCTGACTTTGAGGGTAAGTGACACCTCTCTCACCACTCTTGTATTGCCTCCTGGAAAAATGGGGGAAGCTGAAAGAGCACATCTTCAAGGTTCAAGCTCTGTTCAGACACAATGAGGTGCAACTCGTCTTTATTCTTCCCAGGGGCTACACTGTCTTCTGTTATAGCAGTGTGTACTGCTTCACAGAAGAAGGAATTAAGTGCTTTGCTTTCAGCCTGTAGGTACAAGGCTGAAATTAACTATTCTGTTGAAATCTTAAAGGGATTGATGGCTAAATAGAACAAAGTGTGAAAAATGGTACCGCACTGCTTAGCAAAACTGTTCCTGGGTGTTAGAACTAGGTTAACTGACTAACCAGGGGTGAGAAAAAGGGATTGCACCATTGCTTACCAGCGCTCAAATTATACCACTTTGGGAAAAAGGACTGGATTATTTTCTGGAATATTGATAGGAGATCAAGGTGTACTTTAATTGCAAGGTCACTTATGCAGTGGTACGATTTTTCAATTGATGCCTGAACTGTTTTCTGATAATGCTGCTATAGAAACTGATAGGATAGTAGGAAGCATTTGGGCTGCTGAGTTGCCTTGTAGACCACAGTCTTCCTTTTCAGCTTGTTACATTTTGTTGCTGTTAATCATATGGCTACCAGATCCCAAATGAATTTAGGGACCATTTTGCACGATGAGATACAACTCCTGGCATAAAGTGTGTCCTATGTGAAAACTCTGGTAAGGATGGAAAAACAGATCTGGAATGACTCACTAGTCATTTTGAAACTAGTAGTGTGAGTGTTTTAGGTCCTAGTTCACTGCTCTGTCTGGTGAACTTCCATGAATTTTCAGATTTATAAGGTTGCTTATATATAATAGGTATATATGGTACAGAAAATGGTTGCAATTTCTGGATAGTTCTTGGGCTAGAGCTGCACTTAATGAAATTGTTTATTTCTGGTTTGAGTTATTCTAACAAACAAATTCAGATTTTCTGATAACATCAGAAAATAACTGGCAGTAGAGTAGTTCTGATGAATACTGTATTTTGCACTTCAAGAAAATTTGGAACTTAACTTTTGAAAAGAGGTATGATCTTTTTCTGACTGCAGACTCCTTGAGTTGAGGTAAAAAATAATCTAACATTTATGAAATAAATAGCATTTTGTAATTCTCATTACGTGCTTATCTTCCAAATTATGCCTTTTTTAAAGGTGTGTTCCTAATGCATGCATGATGTTTGGGAGCATGTTTTGCTGTATTAATATCACTTTTGTAGTCTCTTTTAAGATGATGCAGCTTGCTTCTGTTTAATGGTGATTATGCAGAAACTCTGGCTTACCCAGTTGAGTTACATCAGATAACACCGAGCAATCTTAAGAAAATCCTTTGCTTGACTTCTTTTTTAATCAAGGAGAGAAGGAAAAAGAGTCAACAAATTAGTCACTCACTAATTCCATTTCCCAGCACTCCCTTGGCAGAAATTGCCAATCCCCTCCTCTCAAGGAGCCTAGAGAAAACAAAGTCTTGCAGATCCAGAGTAACAACAACTCCAGACTGTTTGAAATGGACTGTTTTTAGAATGATATAATTATTATGCCATATCTATTGTTTAAATCTTTGTGGAGTTTATTGCTAGGTGGAAATCAGCTGGTGCTATCAGGAAAACATCTGTTGCAATGAGCAATCTGAAACCTAGGATGCTGCATTGTTTTCACAGATGAAGCTTTTCTTCTAAGCTTTGTGCTCTTTTGACATGCTTTGATAGGTCGTTGTGCACACCTGGAGTTCTTTGGAGCCAGTATGTACCCTTGCCAAAGAAGGTGTGATTGTTAAAGCACAAAGTGCTGTCACCATCTACAAGGAATCCATAAGTGATGTTCTGGAAAGATGCAGGAATTGTACTAGGAAAAGCTGTGTTATTACTTTCTATCTTGTGGGAGAAGATGGCCTCCAGAGTCCTACGAACCATTTCTTCCTTTCATCACCAAAGGATGCTGTAGGATTAGAAAAGACCCAGCTTAGTGTAAGCATCAATCATGCTAAATTACTGTGTTTGATTTTGCTAATCTTACTGGTTTGAGTGGTTTGCCTGCTATGCAGTGTCTGATTCCATTGAATGTTCCTTGTCCTTAGTTGTTGCTGTTCTAGCTTCCATGTGGAGTTCAAAATTAGATTTTTTTTTCTCTATCACTATATGAATATCTAAATAAGACTGATGGTTTGTTTGTTTGTTTTCATGTGTGTTTTTTGCCTGGGCTTTTCTTTGTTTCAAATAATGAAGTCTCCCTTTCGTTTTTTTAGACTGTCTTTCACCTGACTGCTGCAGCATTGCTCCTTTCTTACTTTCTTGTCCCTAGATAGCAAAAAGCATCATGACAAGTGTTTTGGCTTGCAGACAGTAATGTCACTATTAGGTGTTCCTAATTCAGTTGAGTGTGGAGTGCATTATAGTCATGATATTTCCTTTGTTCCCCTTTGAAGTGCTCATATTTCCTCTTGAAGTGCTCATGCTCTCAGATCAGTGTACCATTGCTAAAATGTAATATTCTGTGCTCCTTCCCTCCTTCTTCAAATCCCTGCCCTCCAGAAAGGGTTCTGATTTGCATAATAGTGATTATTTCTTAATAGCTGACAAGTGTGTCAGTCTTCTGAACAGGCACAAAAAGCATTAGTGTTGTATAAAATTTAGTGAATTTGGTGCTTTTCCCTAGATTTCTTCTGCCCCCTGCAAGCATGCTGTGTACAGAGGGACATGCATGCTCTGTGTGTGTACACACACACACATTTTGTTAAGCCTCACTTCTTAGCATGTATCTCTTATTGCAAAATTCTTAATCATCAGATTGGCAGGATGAGGACCTGTGCCTTCTCACATTTGGCTTTTAAACTGCAGCTTTGCTCTTTGGGAGTAAACTAAACAAGGGGGAAATAGAGGTCTTTAATCTCTTTGAATCTGGACCAGCATAATTGCTTTACAAAAAGAAAATAGGCCAGATTTTCCCCTCTTATCTCTTTCATGGCAGTGCAGTCTGCCTCCTGTGTATACAAAGGAAAGAAATCAGCCTGTTTATATTTTTTTTCACTGGTAGCACAATCTGGAGTCTGAGTCATGCTGGGGTTTTTTTTGGTGGGTGACATCATCAATCATAAAAGCTCTGCAACTGGAGCATCGTTGGGAAATTTCACTCCTTTATCCCGTGGCTGTGTTGTCCTTGCAATACAGATGGCTAACAAGGATAAATTCATGGTGGTCATTTTAGGAGAGTATGCAGCTATGATTAAAAATGTTATTCTGTTTAGCAAGAGGCTAGTGCTTCTATGCATAGTTACTAATAAATTAACTAGATTTTCAAATACATTGCTAATCGAAGAGCTAGTGTTAATAACATTGCTTTTAAAAAGCATGAAGATGGTAGTGTTTCTTCAGGAAACATGAAGTGCAAAGGATGTGTGCTTCAAAAAGTGTTGCTTTTTGTGTAACTGGAATGTGACATCTGCACTGAATATAATTTGTTTTCTTTTTATATATAATTAGTTGGCATTTGAAAACTATGTAGCATAATATTTCATTATGGTGAATGGGGAGTGCTGCACGAAAATGCATCCTGGTTGGCATTTTAAGTCTCTCTAACTACTCTCAAACTACTCTTTAACTGCTGATAGAATTTGATATAAAACATTAAACCTTGTCCTGATATTTTACAACTTTTTTTTTTTTTTTTTATATTTTACTAAACATAGTATAAGGACTTCACTACCATGTTCCATTAAGATGAGATGACCTCTTGTGTTACTGTGATTTTTTTTTTTTTTACCATCTTCTCTTTATTTCTATCATGGATGTAATTGGAATGGCAATTTAGTAGTTGTGAATTGATAGGTTGAGTGAAGTGTTATGAAAGGACAAATCTCTTTCACAGCAGTAAGTACAAGATACAAGTACTATGTACAAGTCAGATTGCCATTTATTCAGTTATTTTCATAAGAAGATGGTAGAGTGATAACAGTTTGGTATTCTTCCACCATCTGTAGTATTCTGTAGCAGCGCTGTAATAACATTTGCAGTTTTTGCATGATTCTTGCATATGAATCCTGTTGGTTTCCAGAAGAGAATATTAATTTGGATGAAATGTGGTTGTTCAGCCTTTGTTATAGGCATGCAGCTCTTTTACCAGTTTGGGTGTAACTGGGGTCTTCTTTAACATGCATATTTTCTTTTATTTATTTAATTTTTTATTTCTCTTTCAGGCCTCTGTATCCAAACAAGATGATATTTATGTATTTGTTCTTCAGACCACTGCAATTGCTCCTTTTGTTTCACTGGATGTAGGGAGTATAAAAGGCAGATTTAGCGATAATGGTTTCCTCATGACTGAAAAGAAGAAAGTGGTTGTGTTTTATCCTTGGGAACCTACCAGTGTGGAAGAACTAGAAAATTCACTAACCTTGACCTCTCTGTCGGATGTTGTCTGAAAATACCTCATTTCCTTCTAGATAAAGTGAAACAGGAGGAGAAGAAAAATTAAAACAGTTTGACTGAAGTTGAAGGAACATACAATTTGAGCCAACTGGAGAACATGCTACCTGTTCCTGTCATATGTGAATTTTAACTGCTGGTTCAATGTAAAGATACCAGCAACAAAGCTTACATATAATATATGTGGTGTCTTGAAAGTACCTCCATAGTTTTTCTAGTTTCACTATGCTGTAAGAGAAAATTTATCTTAGGGTAACAGCAAGGTATGCTGGGGAGTAGGGGGAAGGGCAAGGATGAAGCTGGGCCCACTGCCACAAGTATTCCTTCACTTCAGGTTGTTTGATCTATCTACCCCCAGATCAGGAGGGCATTAGTCCCACCCTTTCAGATCTGTGGCTGTCATCCCTTAGGTGTCCTGCCTGCCCCCTGCAAGGCATGAAACCTGGGCTGTTGAGTCAGACGTCAGACAGATCTGTTCCCACTTCTGAAAGAGGAATTCAGTACAAGACTTGTTGTCTGCTCTCTTTTCGTGCAAAATAAGCAACAGCCTTTGAGAGCCCTGCATCTAGCTTTGACTGTGCCCAGAGAGCTGCAGGTGCAGTCACAAACCTTTTGCTGCTGTGCGGGGATCCCACATAATGTGTCATGTGAGAAAAGGAGTGGGGAGAAGAGTTAACCAAAGCTGCCAAGAGAAAGGAGGCAGTACAGAGAAGAAATGGTCACGTAAGAGAACCACAGAGGTACAAGTGACTGTTTTTTCTCTAGTAAATGCAGAGTGCAGGGGCTGCTGATCTCACTCAGACACTGCTGCATAGCCATTCTGTTACCTCTTGCCATTCCTCATGAGTAACTCTATGCTCTACACTGATCCTCCTCTCTTTCCAACAAGGAAAAACCTCAACATTTTCCTTTCTGTGGTTCCCCCTAGAAGACACTCTTGACTCATTATTACATCTGGTGGCACATTGAACTCTTTAGTGTATGCAAAGTAATGGTGGTTCACCTTACATTCTCTTTCCAACTATGTTGTTTTTAAAATGTTTAGATTTCTCATAGAAATGTCGTCTCACTTGGGCGTTTGATACAAAGAAAATAAGCCTGCTTCAGCGTGGTGGACTGCTGTAGCCTGTGGAGCTGAAAGCCTGAGGGTTTGGCTCTCAGGAAATCAAGGCCACCGAACCACTCTGTGGGTCAGTTGCTAAACAGTGGGCTTGTGTGTCAGGTGTGGGTTGAATTGCAGCTGGGATCTTGCTGGGGTTCCACAAGAATCCCCTCACAGTCCAAGCAAGTATTAATTTTCTTTCAAAGCAGAATCAGCACCACAATAGGTAATGTTTGAACAGGCTCTATCAGTGATGTCCATCTGTGTTGTAAAAGCACTACGTAGATGATATTTGCCGGTGATGTGGGGGTCTCGAGCTCTTGTGGGGCTGTTCCGCTCAGCACTTAGAGACCTTGAACTGGATGTTTGTTTTCTTGCAGTGATCACAGTTTTAATGGGCAGAGAGATGAACACATTGACCAATCCTCGGTGATCTCTAGTGCTCTTGAGCTGGGTGTTAACAAAAAACTCACATACTCCTGAGCAAGACAAAGAACTTAAGGATGAAAGGGAAATGATAAATGGAAATTGCTTACAAATTCTTTATTAGGTCACCAAAACAACTAACTGCATTTGCATTGGAGGCTTTTTCCAATTCAAAACTTGTCCTAGCTAAAAGAAAACATGAAAATAATCAAAATATGGAGATGTATGTGCCAATGTTTATAGGTTATGCAAAATAAATAGAGAAAATGACAGTCATGGGTAAAAGTTAACAGGTAGAAAATGCAGATACTGATGAAGGAAATTAAAAGTTATCTGAAAGGCATCCTGTGCCAACAATACAAAGAAAATTCTTTAGTTTTTTTGGTATCCTGGCATCAAAGTGAAATCAAAGCAGCAATGGCATCAATATAAGGTAAGGATGAAAAAATGTGGAGAAAACATGATTAATAAATACTGCAGCGTATTAGAAAAAGGGCAGGTTTTGTTGATGTCTTTCTCTTATGTTGATGGAGAAATGTATCTTCCAGCAACATCTAGATGGCACTTAATAGTGTTAAATAAATCAAGCTTTGATAGAGTCACTTGTTTAAAAAGAGTCAATAGGATTGTCTGGAGGTCAGTGATATTTGTTCTTGGTGCATCTCAGTATATGAGTGAAGTTTGAGATATACAGAAAAGAGCTTTTGGATCGCTAGAAGCTACAAACCATGAATTTGGATAACTGTGACCTTGTTTAGCCTGTCACAAATTTTAGGCAAGATCGTGAAAGAAATGATGTGGTACGTGATCAATAAATGGTGAAGTGGCCGTGCAACTAATGTCTACCAGCACAGTTATGCAGAATAGCATTCTTTTATGTTTTTTTCCCCTGTTGCTTTCTGCAATTGCCAGATTGACATGAAAAGGTTCAGGCAATTTTTTTGATAGCTGTTTTTGAAGGTCAGGAGCTCCCTAGGGAGCAGGTCCACTCTTTCTCACTGGAGAGCTTTAATTCAGCACTAGGAGCTGTTACGAAGGATTAGCAGTTGCTTAAGCCAAATGCTTGAGCTCAAAACAGAATTTAATGGGGGAGGTTCACTTCCATTATTATCTTAATATCCTTAATACATCCTTTTGATTTCCTAGTGTTGTAGTAGGTGTGTATTAATAGAAGCTGTTCTCTCCCCCATGAGCAGTGGCTGTAACATGTGCTTTGGTTAACCATTTCCCCTTGGTATTTTTGCAGTTGCATATTGTGCTATACTTGGTTACATTGTTCTGCTCTTGTCTCAGATCAGGGCAAAGATAGCAGTGCAAGTGAAGAGATCTTCAGGGTACCCAGCACTTGTATCAACAGATCCATCTGTAGCCACCTGAGTGTTGTTGCAGCTCCTGGGCAGCACCTGTATTGCCAGTTCTGTCTGGTGGGCAGAGGTTCAGGAGAAGGAGCACTGGGAGGAGCATATGGTGAGTGTCATGGTGCTTGTCCTCAGTGCCATTAAATTATTGGTGGCAGCAGTAGAGGGGACTGGGCTCATCCGTGTTCTTTCAGGGTGCACCCTTGCAATGTTTTGTTCAAGGACCCGTGAATTTACTTGCACTGATGGCTCTTTGTTTGCTCTTGGGCCCCCTCCTGGCCATTCTCCACTGATGGCAAAAGTAGCAGCCAGACTACCCCTCAGCCATGACTGATGCCCTTCCAGAACAGAACCTGAGAGCCAGTTTGGGAAGAATGCTGTATGGAATTGGCTGATTTGTTGTCCTAAAACTGGTCTCTGGCAGAGATTTGGCTCTGAAGCCATTCAGGACTAGCAGACACCATTTTGAGCTTTAGGGGGCACCTCTTTGTTGGTGTTTTCTGCCAAATGTGGAAGCCTTATTATGCTTCAGTTTACTTGAGCATGTCCTTGGAAGCTTTTTCAAGTTCTTCTGCATCTTCTCCAGGAAAGAAGTGTGCAAATGTATCTGAAAGTTCCTCTCTAAGAAAGTGTTCATAGTTTGTCAGTCTTTGTTACCTGTTGTTTGCATAACTTTTGGCCTGGACAGTTTTTCTGGCTTAGAGGCACATCTTTCTTTGGTACTTTTACTTCCTTTAGTCCCCTTTTGGTTTTGGAGATGTGTAGCGGAGACCATTTCAGGCACTTTTAGCAGTGTCAGGAGCAGAGAAACAGAACAGTGAGTTTCTTATTCTCGGGACAGGACAGTTGGGTTTTGTAGCTTACAAGCCAGTCTGTTATATTGTCAGAATCACAGTTTTCTTTCTTACCCTCTGAGTAGTAAGTTGAGTCATCCAGGGACTTGTGGTTAGAATGTTTAAGGATATGTTCCAGTCAAAGAATTTGGTTTACATAACTCTGCTTTCCAGTCAGATGTTACCCGACAGTGAAACTGAAGTCCCGGTTTAGTTTAATTAGGGTGGAAAAACAAAGCTTAAATGAAAAAAGGACATATTTCTGTAGGAAGTAGAGTCAGTTAGTAGAGACCCATAAATACCTGGTTTGGTTATTAGTGTGCATCACAGCCAAAATAGGAGGTGTCTCTGGTCTAGACCACTACAACAAAGGAAAGACACTGCAGCATGAAGGGAAACATCACCCGGAGGTGTTAGGAGGAAGGCGGTGAGCGTGGCTGCTTGCCAGGACCTGTTCAGGGTGCTCTACTTTGGGAGTTGATCTGGAAATTTCTTGATGATTTCTATGAGTTCAAAATGGTTCAGGATTGCTCTTTCTTTGCATAGCTTTTTTACTTTGTGGCTGGCTGGGTGCCTGGTTGACTCTGTGGAGGGGAATGGCTGTGGTAGAACCACTGGCCTGTGGATTGAGCCAGGCTTTATGGCCTGGTGGGGAGCTGGGTAATACAGAAAAGAGCTCTAAGTAAGAAAGAGTCTGTTGAGCTTGTGGCCTACTGAGGAGGCAGTTCTTGTCAGATGGAAGAGCTGAAAGTTTCAATCCCATTTCGTGGTGGTGAAAAACCTAAACCCTAAATGCCAGCCTCTGATACCTCTCTGCAAACATTGCGATTGCCAGGTATTGCAACTTCTCTGTCTTCTCCTGTTGTAGCAGTCCTCCTTTACCTATTGTAAGTAAGCTAAATAATAATACTTGGCCATGCTGGCCCTGTGATTCTGTCTAACCAACTAACGTGGACTATCCCAGGGTTTAACCTTCAGTCCATTTCCCCAAAAACTGTAAAAGGAATGATGGTGTAAGTCAACCCTCAGGTGGTTTCCTATGAAAGAAAGAGGGGAAATCTTCATCTCTTGTTGTTCCATGGTAGTTTTAGGGTGGTAGGAAGCTGTGGTTGGGTTGCCCAGTGTGATCACTGGTGAGGATCCAAGGGCAGCACATAAAGATGCAGGCTTAGTGGTGAGAATAGTGACGTGTTTTGTGTATCTAGCCATCTGTTACCCATCTGGAAGTGCTCTGGCTACAGATTTTGGTTTGTACTGTAGCCAAATATAGACTTTCTTCCCTGGGATGCTGAAGACAAAAAGATACTGAGGTGACTGCACATCTGAAAGAGAAGTGAGGCAGTTGTCATGTCCCTGTCTTTCTGGCAGATGTTGTATTAGCTGTCCCAGAGGCATGATGCTGCTCCGTGCCTTTGTGGGCTGACTCAGCTGGAATGTTGGCAAGTGCCATGGCAGGCCACAGGTTAACAGGTGTTAAGTCTGTCACGAGTGTTTTCCCTGGCAGTATGTAATGAAGGCCACTGATCTGCTAGAGCTCCTCTGTATTGTAAATAAAGCAAGGGTGAATGGATGGCTGAAAAATTGCTACAGTGGTTGTGTTTAAATGAGGCCATGGGGAAATCTCTGCAGGCTTTGAATAATAACAGACAAACTGCAGCCTGGCTCTAAGCAGAGCATCAGGCTGCTTCGTAACACTGAATGCAGAAAATCAGCTCCTTGGTAATTAATTTGTCTTTCTCCTGTAGCTGTAGGAATCCCTTGAAGCCAGCAGAAGTCTGGAGTGCGTCTTTGCAAGGGGTGATCATCCAGAAGAGCCAAAAACTGTGGACCGTGGGTGAGTATTGACCACTGCACCCTGAGGCAGCAAATGGGCAATACCATTCCTGTCACTTGGAGGGAGCAAGGGCAGTGGCTCTTTTTGGTTAAATGTTGGAAAAAAGCATTTTACTTGCCTAGACAAGCAAAAAAAGATGTTTTTACACCAGCACGTGTAGGTAAGATTCTTGTCCTTCCTGCAGTACACCAAATTTCAGAATGCTTCCCACTATCACAATGATTTTCAAGTTTGTAAATACACCCAAAGATGATGCCAAGAAACTTACAGCTGTGGCAACCAATCTAAAATCAAGGGCAGTTTAACTTTCTGAATAATCCATTTTACATCAAATGTAGAGAAGATCTGTAGTGATCTGTTGTCACAACTTTTGCTGCATTCCACAAGTTTCTGATGTTTATTACTGCAGTAAAGTAGCAAAATAATGCAGCAAGCTTCATTCCACTGCAAATGAAGATTAAGTTGAGAATTATTTCAGATTTTGATCCTCAGTGTAAGTAAGTTAAAATTTAATACTGAACATGACTGAGAATGGCCAAAGGTTACATTTCGCGGGGGAAAAAATCTTAATTACATAATCTTTCTTATTTTAATACCAAACCATTTGAATATTTCAAGTGTTGCTGGTAAATCTGTGCAGTTACTGTCAAAGCGAGAGGAAGCTTGATTAGCACTCAAAACAACAAACCCATGAAATCAGCTTTTAAGGATCAGTTTGAGGTTGCTAATTAATGATTTTTGCTCATACCTTCAACCTCAGTGCTTTAATTGCTGATGGAAATAGGCACCAGGCTTCTTGCAGTGTGATGCAGTGCATGGGAAGAGCCCCCTGTGGCACAGGCCTAGTCAGAACTGCTCATCCAGCCACAGTGCAGAGACACCTGCTCTTGACATTGACACGTTGTTGGGTGTTTTTTGTTGTTTCTGCAAATATCATAAACCTTCCCCTGTTTTTTTAGAACTTAGCGAATAATACCCTTCTCGGTTTTGTTTCCTCAGAGTAATATGGAACAGAATGGGGACAACATCCTGTGCTACAAGGTGTAGTGAGGTCCTCATGCTAACTTGCTGTGCTGAATGAAACTGTTAAGCTTAAATTCCACCCTTACTACTCTGTCAGAAAGGTTTCCCTCTATAAGCCAGGTGGGAGCTCTCAGGCAGCTGCTTTCTGGATTCTTGCAGGACTGTAGCTGTAGTTTATTCTATCACACTTGTGAAATAGGAATGGCACTACCTGTCTTGGCAAGGAGGTGTAAGGATAAATCTGTGTTTGAAGTGAGCAGATATGATGATGTGGTCCACAAATACATTTTGACAGTTCCCTGATGCAAACACATTTGCTTTAAATGTTCAAGACTTGTGTGTGTCACACTGTCTCTTGCTAAGCCTCATTCCTCTGTATGTATGTTGCCTTCATCCTCACATCTGCAAGGAGCCTGACCTTCTTCCAGGTGCCATCAGTGCAAGAATCAGTGTGCCCTGTACAGGGTGACCCCTACTACTAGAAAAAGAGGTCGAGCAGAAGAGCAAAGTTGTGTGTTTTAGTGTTTTAACTGAGCTGCTTGCAATAAACACTAGGCTCTCCAGCAGGTTTGCTCTGCCAAATGGAACTACACCAGACACAAATGTCTCCCAGTAGATGTCCTGCTGCTCTCTGTAGTGTGTCCTACACTAGGTGGTGTTTACTACCACCTCCTCTTGCCTAGTTCTAACACACTATGTGGAAGATGGAGAGGGTTAATACAGATGGGAAAAGTTGTCCTATTGTGTGACTCAGCTGTAGAAATTTAGTGTTCCAGTTTGAATTACTGAGAACACTTTTTAAATTAATATTTTTTTCTCTCTCCAAAAAAAGAGGAAAAAAAAATAAAAGGACCAAAGCGTCTTTTTTAAAATATACTGAAACTGAGATGCTGCAAGGAAAGAAGCTGCCAGACTGCCATTTAAAGCACTTCAATACACAGGGCCTAGGGGACCTGCTGTTCATTGCATGATCACTAACCTGATGAATAGCTATTATACAGCAGTTGGTCACAAAGTGCTTAAGGAAATATAGGCCCAGGTGTCTTCTGGTGGTTTAAAAGCAGAGCTGTCAGAACTGAGGCTAAAAAGCGTGAATCAACAGTCAGAGGGTGCTGGTGACCTGTAGGATGTAGAAACCTCAATAAAAATGTCTGCCAGCCCCCTGAGTTGGACAGCAGCTCATCTGGGGTTCAGAAAGCCCCTCCACCCTCAGAAAATGAGAACCTTTGCCTGTTTCTATTAGACAAGTAAATTAATTGAACAAAAATCCATATGCCTTAGATACTGCATATGCAGGTTATACATACAATAACTGAAAGAAAGAATGTAATTTTTACTGTTACTCATCATGTTTCCCTGGAAGTAATTAAGATACTCAGTAATTCAGCTGGATATAAAATGAGTTCACAAGGTTTTTTCATTACTCATGGTTTAATTCATTACAGCAACTACTGCTCTAAATGTAGCCATTCTCAAGGTTTATCTTGATTCATTTTCTCAGGAGTGACACCCAGGCTGCTGAAGACTGAACTGAGCCAAGAGCAACCCTGTCAAATCTCCATCTTTGTGCCATGAAAACTGGCTACAAGTGAGTGGCATTGGTACGTTGCTTTTTCATCATGAAATCCAATACCTGCTCTGTACTTTTAGTTGGGCCAACATCAGTAACAGTTACCCTCACTATCATCTCAGAATTAATGTGAAACAAGAAGCACGGCTCATGAGCCCAGTTACTACAGGAGTTTCTGCATAGCCCAAAGGAGAACTGTCTCATCAGAGTTTTGCTGAGACACTAAATACTTGTTTCAGTGTAAATGAACACTCTGCTGCCATAATTATGAGAACTGAAACAAGGCAGAGGCTTTAATTCCAAAGCACAAAGCACAGCTGCTCAGCAGTTGCTGATGCTCCTGCTCTCCCACCAAAAAAGATTAAGCTTCAAGCTTTAAGACGGGTGGCTTGCAACCCTTTATTTATTTTAGTATTTGGAAATCAGCATGATCTTGTATCAGTGACTAAAACTGAAATGCTAAATCTTCAATAATTCTTTGAAAGATATGTAAAAATCACAGCAAGCATAGACAAGAGAATTAATTTTGGAGTTTTATTATAAAAGTAAAATAAAAATAAGCATTTAAAAAGCCCACTTTTTCGAACAGGAACAGATATAAAAAAACTATTTACAAGTAGGAAAATGCCAAACTTGAAAAAAATTTGAATAAGAGGCACCCAAGTGAAATTTAAATACATTATTTGAAATATACAAGATTCTTTTTTTTAGGATTTTCTTTTTTCTCTGAATTGTCACTGTTATGATTAATGATTTTTCTTTGCCAGCTATATTAGGAGCTTTTTTTTGTGCAACTCTGCTGCAAAAATTAAGAAGAGAGCAGCTAGAAACTGTATCCTTTTATTGCTCTGTGTGCCTTACCTCTTTTTTGAGTTCATATTATGCTTTAACAAGGAGTGACTTTCATCTGTAAAAGAAAATCGTCACAACTCAGAAAAGCTCAGTCAGTCTTTCACAGCGTCCAGTCCTGTGTATTAATGTGGCAGTAGAGCCCTGGATATTGTATATGGCTTGTAAATGAATAAAATCAAATGTACTTGAGGAAGGAAGCAGTGTCTAGGAGTTGCACGCTGAAGTTGCCGTTGGTCCTGGTTCGGGTGAGATTCTTCCAGTGCACTTTTGATTGTGAATTCACTTCCCTCTGACCAGGACGACACTGATATAATTTTAAATGTTGCATTTGTTCCTGTAACTGCATATTGCTAATTGAACATTACTATTCGGCTATATAATTGCTTTGCACTGAACTTTCATGTCCGTAGCCCAGGGCCATTTTGCTCAGTGTTAGTGATGACTTGCTGTTCAGAGAGTCAGAATAAGTAAAACTCAGTTTGCGGAATGAGGTCTCCACGCCGCTGTCACATGTGCTTTCGTTGTCTTGAAATTTGCTGTTATAAAGCTCACCTAAGGGAGAGAGGAAAGGGAAATACGTTATTGTTTGTGTGGCTTGAGTGATGCTGCTTTCAGAATCATAGAATTATAGAATCATAGAATAGATTGGGTTGGAAAAGATCTCCAAGATCATCAAGTCATCAGAAAAGCCTAAGGAACGCAAACCAACAGGGTCAAAGCTCTTCTATAGGAAAATGACTCTAATACGAAGTAGTATTTTAGGAAAAGCTGTGCTGAATATTTTCAGGCCACCAAAGCATGTGATCTGACATACTGCTGGCAGAGATCAGCCTGCAGTTGGAGCTTGGATGGGATGAGAAGCCTGGTGCTCTGCTGACACTAATGCTGTCACTGCACGTTGGTCAGGACTCTGCTCGGGTGTCAAAAGGTTCTTTGGTTCTCAGATTCGGGCTCTGAGCAAGTGTATAGCTCCAGGATGAGGCTGCTAAAACTTTCTCATGCTACTTCAACTCACAGATTTCTTTCTGAGACAAATACTTGAACAGTTTTCATCTAGTAAGTGAACCTGAAATACGAACAAGTCAGCAGCAGCCACCACCTGTGCACGATCCACAAAAGGAGTGCCTGACTGCGAGGGATCAGTATCCAAGCTGATATGGGATCAGTGTGACTATAATAACAGTGGTTGGCATATTAGAGTTCAGTCTTATTTTTCTAAACAAACACCTTAAAATAAAACTATGTGATGCAGTCCACTCATGTTGCAAAGGAGCAACTTACCCTTCAAGATTAATCTAAAGCGGTAATATGTGTACAAGCACATCTTTGGGTAGGTGTAAAGGTTCTTTCCATGACTGAAAAAACTGTTTTCCATAGATAGACATTAAACTAGAATGGAGTGACTGTGGATTTCCTTTTTTCTTTCCAGAAATATATACAGTTTTTTCACATACAGGCAGCACTAATGGTGTTTGAACAGTAAAAAACAAAGGTTTTTGTTACTTAAAATGGCCAGGCAATGACTGAACATCCCTGATGACTTACTGACTTCTCACAAACTTTGGTTTTGTGTTAGTAGAGTCCCTTGCCCAGAAGCACTGTAGGACTTCCATTATTGGGAAGATGCTCAGAACTCAACTGGACATGACATGGACAAACCCATGTAATATTTATACTGGCCCTGCTCTGAGCTGGTAGTTGACAGCAGGACTGCTTGTGGTCCTGTGTAATCTAAGCTATTTCTCTGCCTACAGAACACTGGGCCACTTTGGAGTGCTTACACATTGTAGAAAGAGAAATTTAATACCAAAGTCTTACTGAGAAGCTAATGGCACTTGTACTGCCTAGTTTATCTTTTGAAACTTATTCCCAGGTATTACTATCAGCAAATAGCAAGTGTCTGGTATTAGAAAAGGGAGGCAGTATATTCAATACTGTGATGCAGGCGTGCTGATTCAAATGGTCCATTTTTCCTCTCTCTTCTAGGCCTAGCAAATATCTATGATGAGAAAGTCACGCTGCAATAAAATATTTCTGAAACAGGTAAGCAGCTGTGGCATTGTGTGTGAGGAAATATAAAATCTATCAGGAGCCCAAGGTGGGGGAGGGAGGGAGAATTGAAAACAACATCTTAAAGCTCTTCCTATTTCGTTGTCAATTTTACCTGTCTCTCCATTTGCAAAGGTGAGTGGTGATGACGATGGAAGAGCTTTTGCTGTGCTCTTCTCCAGGTGAGATGGGCTGTGTGAGATGGATAGTGCTTCCTGAATTACTTCAATGGCTTCTGTGTGATTCATCTGTCTCAAAGCAGCGATCAACTCCTGAACTGTACCACCAGAAACCTAAGAGAGAAGACACCAGATGCTCACCATCAACCAGGCTGGCTAAAACCGTCCAGAAGGACAGTGTTCTCTACACGTCTGAAAGTTCTTTATAACTTGTTACAGCCACATTACCTCATAGTTATCTAGCAGAGTTTTTGATGGAGAAGGGCTCAACCTGAAGGCATTATTAAGTATGCCAAGACCTAGTTTTTGTGCTAGAGTGGACCAGTTTTTGGTTGGATCAGGCGATTCCAATAGTTTGTAAAGCTGCATCTTGGAACTTTCATTCAGCTCTCTCAAGTTTCCTGGGGAACAGAGAAATATGTTATACAAATCAGCACCAGTTCACTTCTAAGCAGAAGCAAAGCCAAACTGAAGAGTATATTAGGGTCCAGTCCCAGTGTTTATAAACATATTGCTGTAGTATTGAAAATGTACTCCTTTGTGTCCTTGTGATCTCTTAAGGGAATCATGCTCCTTCTGTGAGCAAGTGGTTGGGAGGCACCTCTTCTCCCTCACCAGTTCAGTTACAAGCTATGGCAGGGCAATGTCTTCTGCCACTATGGTTAGAGAACTCAATTACTAGAGGGATATTGTCAAGTCTTTACAGATGTTACCTCGTGTCAGCAAGTCCTCCAAAACTTCTGTTGACTCGTAGGGTTTGCCATTTAGTATGTCATACACCTAAGACAATACATTAAAATCAGTATTTAGCAGAAACCTGGTTAGTATCCATTATCTTGACAAGTCTCAGCAGTATTGTATAAAGCCCTAATTCCATCTGTAAATCAGCATTTTCATCTGTCTGAGGTTCAGTAGTCTGTTAAGTGGAGCTTTCTTCCAACGTTATTTCCTTGGGGGAGTTCTGTGGCTGAATTAGTTTAATTTTTGATGACAAATTAGTTGCTTGTCACACTGAAATGACTGTGGATGCAGTGAAAGGAGCTAGCTAAGACAGCTGAACTATCCTTGATGATTAGAAAAAAAAGCCAGAAAAAACCCATCAAACAGAACAAACAGACCACATACCTCACAGTTGGCTGCCATATCCAGCGGTGTTGTTCCAGGCACAATCCCTTCATCATCATCTTCAGCATCTTTCACATCATCTAGATCAAACAGTGGCTCAAAGTTCTCAATGTGAGGATTTGCACCTGGAAAAAGTGTGCAAAAACAAAAAAAAATTGTAAGAAAAAAGGCTTCATGTTGCTTTTTGACAACATTTAAAATACGCATTCTAGTTTCAGAATGGCAAACCAGCTAATTTATTTACTCTAGCTAAATGATATTTTATATTAAGCCAGCAAATAACTCTTTTTTTTAAAATTACATTTAAATGCGGTCACATCTCTGTGCAGTGCTACTCTCCAATATAAAGAGGGGAAAAAATGACGAGCAGAGTGTTAGGACCCAAAAAAAACCACTCTGGTTGTAGCAACTAACTTCCAGTCCCATCTCAGGTCACACAGAGCATAGCATGTATGTGATGAAGCAGTGGTGTGGTGCTGCTTTTTATAGTGTCAGAGAAAGTGTGGGTATTTTTAAAAGACCAAGCAGACAGCCACATCAATGGGAGGGCTGGGTGTCTGTTTTAAAGGAGAAAAATCAAGTTTAAATACAACTGACAAAATGTTCCAATAAATATTCAAATCTAATTCTTCCGAAGTGACCTAAAATAGGAGACATTAACAAGCTCATGTTTCAGTGATGGGGTTATTTTTGTTTCTAAAGTAGTCTAAAACTTATCCCAGCTATAACAAGGTCTCCACTTCTTCAGTTATAAAAGCTACACAAGAAATATTCAAAATCTTCCAAGAGTGCTTGCAAGAGAGATTTTTCTTGATCAGCATAATTTGCCTTTTTAGCCATTAGATGGTGCTGAAGAGTGGTTAGTAAAGCACCTCAAAGTCAGACTTTTTGAGGAAATTCAGACCTTCAGGCTTTTAAAATCTGACTTCCTCTATTCATTAAACACGTTCACTGGCACATTCTTTTCTGCTTGCAGCCTTCTAACTTAAATTTTTGTCACCGTGAAAGAAAACTCTCCAGCAATGATCTATTTTCATACCTGCTGCTTTGAGAACTGCTGTCAATTTTGCAGAGCCCCTTCCAGCTGCTATGTGAAGTGGAGTTGTCCCGTCATATGTAGTGCTGTCCACATCTGCATCACCCTAGATTTTTATTGAATGACAAAAATAAAAGAGATGTATACAATACAGCTGCAGAGGCTCATGTCTGCATAAGCAGGGCGAGCACCATTCTGCCCCTGTTTGCATAAAAACTAATGTCTGCAAAGAAGTAATTAGAAAGTAACTACAACTGTCTGCATGGAGGAACAGATGGTCATTGTGTGCTCCAGCGTTACAGCAGGAGGTGCAGTGTATATATCCAAACAGGTCAGGTTCATGAGTAACTTCATTGGCTGCCAGGATTACTCAGTGCAAATTAAACATGGCATATGCAGTCAGGTCGGGGCCACTGTAAATTCCTCAGCTTGGGCAAAAGGTTCACCAGCAATATTGAACAAAGCAATGAATAACATCACCAATAACTTTGCCGTTATGCTAATTTAAGGAATCTAATCAATAAACAGGAACCCCCCCTTTCTGTTCCTCTGAAGCACTGAAGGAGTGTCCAGAGTATTTAAATATATATTTTGAAAGACCTGGAAGAAAGAAATTCTGGGCTTACCTCAAGCAAAAGGCAGCCTGCCAAAGGGATGTTCTCTTGTTCAACAGCCAAATGCAATGCAGTCCGTCCAGACTTTTGTTCCTGACAATTGACATTAACTCCAGCAGCAATCAGCTGTTTGAGGCAGGACATACTGTTTGCCATCACCACCATGTGAATTGCACTGAGACCTACACAAAATAAATCCCAACCATTAATATTGTGCATACAGCCACGTGCATTAATATTTGAAAAATTCAGAAATGTCAGAGTAATGAGTTTTGAAGTGTCCGCATGTATAAGAATTGCAAAATAAGTTAGAGTTTCTGTAGTTGTCTGAGCAGAAGTAACATGTTTTGCCCGCTGATACACTAAAAGATGATAGAATCATAGAATTGTTTAGGCTGAAAAGGACTTCAAAGACCATCTAGTTCCACCCACCTCCTGCCATGGGCAGGGGCACCTCCACTAGACCAGGTTGCCCAAAGCTGCATCCAGCCTGGCCTTGAACACTTTCAGGGATGATGCGTCCACAGCTTCTCTGGACAACATGTACCAGTGTCTCACCACCCTCATAATAAAGAGTTTCTGCCTAATATCTAATTTAAACCAACTCTCCATCAGTTTGAGGCCATTCCCCCCTTGTCCTGTCACTACATACCCTTGTAAAAAGTCCCTCTCCACCTTTCCTAGAGGTTCCCTTTAAAAAGCACTGGAAGGTTGCAATGAGGCTTCCCAAGAGCCTGCTCCTCTCGCAGCTGAACAGCCCCAGTTCTCTCAGCCTGTCTGCAGTGGAGAGGTGCTCCAGCACCCTGAGCATCTTCATGGCCTCCCCTGGACCTGCTGTAACAAGCCCGTGTCCTTTGTATGCTGGGGGTCCCAGAGCCTAAAGTAGCACTCTGGGTGGAGGCTCAGGATCATGTTAATGATGTTGATGAAAATGTTCTTTGTGCACAAATTGGAACTAGTTGTGTTATTGGTGGTAAGTGAAAGCCGTGCAAGAAAAAGAACTCCAGCAGACTACAAGGTAGAACAGAAGGCAGGAACTACAGAGCTCACCTACAGCATCTCTTTGCCTCAAAAGGGAGTAGCCTTAAAAACAAAACCTTCATCATCATACTAAACAAGTATTTACCCCACACTGGCCCCATCTGCTACTGAACATGTCATCTAGAAACAGTCTGGGGAAGAACTGGTATATTTTAGTACCATCCTCCTGTAGGGTCACACTGCCTTGCCATCTCAAGATTACCTGCACTAGATCATAAAGCCTTGTATTTAAAAATCAACCAGCCAAACAAAATCCAAACAAACAAAAAATTCTTTCTCTCTGAGGAACTTACACAGTTTTTTGAATGCCATAATGACATTTTTAGGTCAGAAATTTTACAATCTACTAGAGTAGGAGTACTTAATTCCAATCCCCTGTGCCAATGAAAAATGGGAGAATTATCTCTTTTTGGGTAATCTGTAGGCTCTAATTCTGTATGGTCACAAAGTGCCAGATACAAAACTCAACATTGGTCCAGAACCTGTTTTTGAGGTGATTCATTCACTAGAAAAGAGGAAACATTTTCTTCTAGGGGGATTTTTTTTAAAAACTGGTGGCATAAGGTATCTCGGGAACAACACAGTGATTGAAGTTTTGTTAGACTGAAGAGAATATAGAGTAACAAATATTCAAATCCACACTTATGTCATGTGGCCGTTACATCTTTCTGTTCTGTATAACTAAAAAACCAACACATCTGTGTTCTCTTATCTGTGCCTGCAGGCACATGCAAAATGGGGAAAGATGCCACTTTCAAGGTCTGTATCTACCTGTGTAGAGTCACGGTGTTGGCAGGGGCAGGAATTGGGGTGTTTGTCTAGCAGCTAAATGTAAAATGGAGCCCTTATCTTTCCATACCTTCAGCATTGGAAAGGTTGACCATCGGAGATACCTTCTCATGCTTGAGGAGCAGACTCAAGATCTTGTCGTCTCCTTGGGTAGCAGCTAAATGTAAGACAGAATTACCGTGGCGATCCAGGAGGCTGACATCTGCTCCAGCCCTCAGCAGGTCTTCCACCACCTCTGCCTGCTTTGTGATTACTGCCAAGTGCAAGGGGGTCTAGAAGAGACACAAGCGAACCACGAGAAGATAAGCAACAGCTACACCACTTCTACAGACACCTCTGAAACTCATAAAGGCTCCTAGTGTGAGAAGATGTTACACCACTCCAAAGCTAATAGAAACTAAAAGCTTGCATTTGTGTACATTCTTTTCTACTGAATACTACAAATAGGGTTTCTACTTACTGGAAATAAAAGCTGCCTTGCCAGTGTCAGCAGTTGGACTTTGGGAGGAACAAAGATGTTGCCTACTCTATAAGCCAGGGCACTGACCTGGCTATTTGAGCATTGCAGTGTAAGGGACTTGGGAAATGACATAATCCCTGCACTCCCCAGACACTGTAACCCTGCTTTCAGCTGCCCCATCGCCAAGTTCATGCCATGGCTGGAGCACCAGGCCCCTTTTCAGGCCCTGCTCTGACCTGCATTTACCACTGAACCATGCTCTCATTTTGCTCCTGAATCAGAGGTTTGCAGCCATGGCCTGAGGAGTTCCTTATCCTTCAAAATGGCTGCACAGAGAAGAAGAAAATCCTGCAGTTCTGTGCATTTGTCGAAGAGCAGAACAACTGTGCAGTTGCGCACCGTGTGTCGGGCTGGCTGGTCTTATTTGCACGTTCCCCATTTTTTGACACAGACACCTGCAGCACTGAGTGGCTCTCAGGCTGAGAGGTGTCTACAACTTCCAAAGACTGACTGCATGCTGTAATTCTTGTCAGTCTTGTTAGTGAGCAGCAGCATGTTGAACATACTCAGAGTTGCAGGTATTTAAACAGTAAGCATTCTAGTAAGGCTTGAAAAATAATATTTCCAATATTAAAATAATCTAAAAATTACATAAGATTTCATCTCCACCTAATTATATTAACAGAGGACTAAAAAAAAAAAATACGGATTCCAGCTCTGCACAATAAATTTGTGTTTGTCAATAGATTTGTCAACACATTTGCAATTAATTACTGCATCTATAAGGTGCATGTACAATTCAGCTTTCAGAATATCTGTACAGAAGGAAAATTCTAGCCCAAGCCTATATTCTCTTCCATCATTGGTTTAAGGTATAAGTTGAAGGTAGGAAGAGCTGTAGAGTCCTGGTAGTCAGGGATTTATTTCTTGTGTGGAGCACAGCTTTGCTTCCAGTTTCTGTTAAACAGAGGGCACAGAATTCAATTCAGAATCTTCTGCTTCCTTTGATCAGCCTCCACATTTCAAACTTTCCTTATATGAACACAACAGTGAAATGCGAAAGAAAACAAAGGAGTCAAAATAAACCTTCTGGGACTATCTGTGTAGAATAAAAACCTGCCTTTACTGCTGAAAGAAAAACAAATGACACAAGTGTCAGAGTGCTGCCGCATAACATCCAGCAGGTTACCTGTGGGACAGCCAATTGGTGCACACAATCTGCTTTTCAGGTAGGTTCCCACAGCTCTTTTTAAAACCTGAGTTACAATATAACAGCTCAGACTCTGTCACAGATGAAGCTGAGGAGACAGAATTGTGCCTGGCAGTTAAAAAAGACAGGGAAATGGGCTTATATTTTTTGATTTTACTAAAATAGAGATCTAGAAATAAAAGGAAATCTTGGTGCTCATGTGATGGACACAAATACAATCTGGGCTGTAGAAAGGGCATAGGTTACTATGGCTTCACGTGCCTGTAGATAACTGATGATGCAGCAACTGGCTCATGATCCTGAATTAACCTACGTTAGAAAGGTCAAAAGAGCCCAGAGCTGGCACAGTGTAATCCACACCGCTGTTTTAGGAACAGAGAAGCCAAATACTGAAGACATGAACTGAAGAATTTACCATTTTCAGCCTGTTCTGCAATTAACCCAAGGAGACACTTCTGTTAACATCAAGGGGAGTTATGGACTAAACCTGTGAAAACAGGCTCTTGTTCCTCCACCACCTTTCAATAAGTCATTATGTTTCAACATTTTCTTGAATTGCAGTCAGATCTCGGCTCTTTCCCACAGAAGCAATTTCTTTTTTACTGTCTAGACAATCAGCAACACTTGTACCATCACAACTGCCCACCTGATAGAGGTCATTTCTCATGTTAATGATGTCATTGTAATTCAAGTCCTGCATCACTTCCAAGAGGTTTCTCACCAGCTCAGTATGAAAGTGGATAATTGCTAAATGAAGGACACTGAAACAAACAAAAAAGCAGATTAACAAATTCACACTGTTTTCAAATTTATTATAAAAATTTCAAGGCTTTGCTGCAGATCTGACTGAATTCTGACATAAACCCTTGACTATCAGAGGTAATGATTCCAGCATTAAATATTAGCATATAAAATAAACCGCGACATTAAAAATAGCGAGTCAGAAGGTAACTGCTTAACCTTTCAATCACAAAAGCTAACTCAGAATAGCTTTTGCTGGCCCTGAGCATAACTTTACTACTAGTCTAATATACAAAATTAGTAGCACAAAACAATTGCTTCAGAAAATCCCCAGATTCTTTGCTCATTTGTTGGTTTTTTTTTTACATTTTGAATTATGCAGCAGATGAACACCTCTCACTTGTCAAAACCTTCCTGCAGAATTTCCACAGCCCTCTCTGCCTCCAAAGCAGATTTTCCCTTGGGGTTTCCCCAGCTAGATCTGTGGGTTTTCCTTTCCTTCACTTTCAAACAGACGAGTGACTAAGGACTCAGGCCCGGTGACTAACAACCACAAGATTTGCAGCAGTGGCCACAGACGTCATGCCAAAAAAACCCTGTTTTGTGACTGCACAGCAAGACGCTTCTAATGGGTTAATGCAACGGCCTTTCCAGTGCTCTTCTCCAGAGCAGGTCCCTCGCCATCAGCCAGAGCAGCAAAATGACACCAAGAAAAAAAGCCGACTGTGAATCCCATCACCCCTGTCCGACAGAGCTCTATTTGTCTTGTTCCCTCGAGACTTCATTTGGAAGTCATGCCCCTTGTTTTTAAACATATCCTGCCAAGCTCTTCTTTAGCAGGTGCTGGGCAGCTTCTAGACTCAGCTGTTTAGCATATTGCTGCTGACACACAATATCAACATGGCACACGTGGTGTGTCTGTTATGCTGCTCCAGAAATACCCAAATAGTCTCAGATTTACACTTTCATCAGAAAAAATAAAAGGAAGTTCCATGCCATTCAGGGCATGGAGTCATCTTGAAATTGAGAGTGAGAGCACTCAAAACCAGCAGATAATTTAACAAAGGGAAAAGTATAATTTATAAACTAAACTCAACCCTGCAGGGCCCTTTTTATTGGTTTCAGACACTGCCATAGGCAGTACTATGGCACCTTACCTCCTTCAAGTCTCCTGTGCTGTTCAAACAGACCCACCATTACTGGAAAAGAGCTGTTCCTCTCCTTCTTACTATGCTGACATTTTATTTCCAAATCTCACTTCAGAAACACATTTGCTCTTCTATTGCTTCTAGTTCTCTTTTCTGCAGCAAGTATTTTAATTTTACCCTGCCTCTACGTGTGATGCTGTAAAGACATACTGAACAGACCACAAAAGGGCAGTCAGTTCCACTTCCTAAACAGTCCTACATGAAAACATGCATTTCTGCACCCCTGTGGAGCCATCAGGTATCTGCAGAGGAGTGGTATTGGTAAAAATGCACTCACAGCCGGTATCACTGAGTGTCTTGTAAACATACTCTGCTCACAGATTACTGTATCCTGTCTCAAGGCCATGAAACACAACACAAAGCCTACTAAAGGTATTTTATTCCCCACACACTGCTTTGATGAAAGATGAGCAAAACTGTTGACAGCATCATTATTTTTAAGGCTGAAGCAAACTTTTTCTATTTTCTGCCATATAATTTTAATGCCTCAAGTGAAAATCATAGAAATTTATTTTTGAATTTTAACCTTCCCCCCTTCCCCACCAAGACAGAGATGGAAGACAGTCACCAAAGCTGATCTTTTTAAAAAAGTTACAGAGTAATATAGACGTATGATGTGCTCACAGACTAAAATCCATGCCAGGAGAAAGGCAACGTGAACTTGATCTTGCAGATACTTCTTGATTCAGGAAGAAAACAACTATTTATCATCATTCTGAAAAGTATTTTGATTTAGTTGAAATGCTCTGCAAGTCCAAATCTGAGGGGCAGCTTACTGATATTTAAATGCAGGTCCTACTTGCTCAATACTCCTCTATCCCCCTTTTTTCATTTTAAACACAGAAGCTGCGTTGTCCAAAGTGCTGGCAGATTTTGTTGCTAGCTCCTGCCTCTTTCATATTCCTGTTTTTCTCAAAGCAGACATTAGGTTGCCAGTTGGAAAGCAAAGCAAGTAAAGTAGCTCTCTGTGATTGTACAGTCCTCTATGTGTAATCTGAGACCTATTTTCACCGAAAGTGGAGTGAAAGCAGTAACCTCTCACAGAGTAATTGAACAGTGGGATACAGGTCTCAGTCACTTGTAATTTTCCTTCTATCTGGACACCTCGAAGCTTGTATGGCTTCTACTGTATAAAATACTACAATTTAAGGAAATATTGGTGATTGCACGGGGCCTGCTCAAGGCCTGCCAGCTGAGAAGTGAGGATGTGATAGTCACTTGTTTAATCCAGAGATTATCCCTGCAAATGTTCAGAGCTGGTTCTGCTGAATTTCATTTTAAGTAACATTAAGCAACATCATTAGTTCCTCACAGTATTTCACTCTGAGTTTCCCAGAATCTGCATAGCTATAGAGGAACAAAATGGATTTCTTCTCCAGCTCGCATTATTGAACGACTGCTAAGCAAATATTAGTAGCCAAGTCTGCCACAAACATCTGCAATCCATTGGAAGACAACAGTACAGTACAGACATAAGCAAAAGCAAAATAATGTCCTCTGGGAAGAAGTTGGTTTCAGTGGGAGAAAAGCAGTATGGACCCTCCAGCTATTGTTTCTATATCTCCCAGTAAATCCCTTACTTGAAGCTTCCTATAAAGACTTAAGGACTTGCATGGAATAAAAGTCAGGGCCCTCTCCCTTCAGCACCAACCCGAGGATCCTCATCCATTGTCTATCACGATACAAGCACAGCATTTCATGCTCAGTCAAGTAAGTAAAAAATGGCAAAGAAATGCACAACATGCTCAACATACCCTGAGTGACCAGAGTACTTTCTGACAGGTACTGGACCAATGAACTTTGTGGTGTGCACGACTTCTTTGCAAACGCAACAAGAACGTCTAAATCACATCTGTACCTCTCCCAAACAGCACAAAGGAGGAAGACAGCCATTTGATGAGAGCAGTGCTGCCATCCGTGATTGGCACACACAAGGGGCAGAACGCATTGACTACACCATTCTGCCACTAAAACCATCAGTTTCAGCCCAGTAAGCATAGTGGGATCGACTCACTTGTCTCCGTTATCATCCTGGACAGCAGTGAGATGGCGCTGAGCAGACAACAGCGTCTTCACATCTCCGGTCACAGCATAATCAAAGAGAGCGTTGCAGTGACGCTTGGCGAGCTGCATGGCCTTCTCCAGGAACAGAGAATCTGCAACACAAAGTTTTGCCTTCGTCAGTCCGGTTCTCTTCCTTGGAACGCCACCTTCTTTCAACAGGCATTTGTGCTGTCATTGAAATACAAACTGCAGACCACCAAGAATTATTCACTGCTTCACTCATTACTCCTGAGAGTTAAGAACAGAGTGAACTGAGTTCCTTGGAATCAAAACTAGGTGCATGCTGAGCATTCAGGCAGCAGGAACCCTGAGAACAGTCAAACCCTGGAAGCTGCCTCTGGTTTGAGCGGCACCGAATTAACTGCATTGAGGTACATTTGTGCATAATGAGACAAAAGGAGCAGAAACTTGAATCTGCTCAGATACAAGATATATCTAAGGACTCTTGTCTACAGAGCAATTAAAAAAAACCCTCTTATGCAGTTCTGAGTAGTTTTGCCTTGAGGAAACTGAGGTGCAAGAAGCCTAAGTGACCCATCAAATATTGCACAGAAGCTCACAGAAAAGCTATGAATAAAACACAGGGCTTTGTGCTCTTCAGACTTATATCATTCAGTGTCTCCTGCTATAGAGCAGTAGCACAGAGAGTCTGTTCTCCTGTTTTAAACATTTCAGTCTTCATACTGCTTAGTATTTGTAGAGTCCTGATTTTAGATTTATAAAATGTACAACCACTGAGATTTCAAAAACTAGAATTTGTCGTGATGGGGAGACAGAGGGGAGAAAGGGGAGAAAAAACTCTTTTGTGGAAAAAAAGTAACTCAGGCTGCTCTGTCAATACTTTTGTGGTTCTGTATCAGCAAGAAACTAGTGAAACTGAAACAGATGAACTCTTAAACTACAGTCATCATTTTGAGAAGTATCATCTGAAACCAGCCTGCATTTTGAATGGTTTCATGTTTCCATAAAACCTAGTAAGGTTGGAAATTACTAAGAGCAAACAAGTACAACAGACTTTGTCATTTAAAGCACACATGGGGAGACAATACCCAGGATTTCCAGTTACACAAAACCAGGCATTTAGACTGGGTCAGAAGTGTATCCCTGATGAACGTGAATTCACCATCTCTGTAAGGCAAAGACTTACTCAGCTATCCACGAAGCTTATTGTTCCAGCCAATACATGACTGTGGTTGCTCCACTGCATGCCTGGGCTGCTGCATTCATATTTGCTATTTACCTCTTAACATTAAATAATATCATTAAATGGATTTTATGTTCAGGATAAATAGTCAGGGTAAAGGGCACTAAGCAATTTGCTCTTTTCTCATTTAGACATTTCCAAAGACCAATGAACTAGATGCTGAAACTCCCTGATTTTCCATTTCAAACACAGCAAAAATATCCTTCAAAATACTACAAGCATCTTTTAGTCTAATACTCAGATGATCTAACCTGCAGTAGCTGCTTGATAAAGCCTGTTCTTCTGCACCCATATTTCATATAATCTGGAGCTAGAAATTGCCTCCTTTCATGCCATTACAATAGATACAGAAGAGAAATGGTCAGCTTCCTGCCTACAACGTTCGTTACCCAAAAACCAGGTAAACAATTCAGGCCTCTCCTTCATGACTGCTAAATGGACATTATTAGGTCTTCATATCAGCAAAAGATTTTTCTCTCTGAACCAGCCACGTGGTTTATCACAACCAGAACTGCAAAATAGCAAGTTCCTTCAGCTTTTCTCCAGAGCACATCTGTTCTCAGATCACAAGAAGCTACAACTTGGAGATTTTTACAACTACAACCCAGCTATGATGCCAGTTTGGTTTCCCAAGCCATGGTTTCTCGTGCTGTTAATAGCAAGGGCCATACATGGCTGATACATGCAAGATAAGGTGCTCTCTCCCTGATCCAAGGAACAACTAAACTGGTCTAGATCATGTTGCACTTGGTAAAAGCCAAGAACAAAACATTCCTTCCTGCTCAATTCCTACCGCTAGCATGTCTCCGTTGTTTTTTTTGATTTTATGATAAGCGCAATTAATTTCTTTAAAAAAGTGTCCATCAATTATTTTTAAAAAACAATCCAGGAAAAGGATGTCTTGCTCTGGGAGAGGGTGATTTGCAGTCTTTGTATATTTTACAACTCTGCTGGCAAACCATTTCTATTTCACGAGTATTTCATACTCTTGTCTTCCTCCCGTTTTGTTTGATACATAACACTTTGCTACCCAACAGAGTTGTTTTACTGGGCATTTGCCATATGGGAACAGATACCTTTTCATTTTAAATTCAAACCTGTAACACTACTTTGCATGGAGTTTAGCAGTGTTGTTGCAGTAGTTCTTCTCTGCAATCACTGCCAACATCCATTTACTCACGCATTACGGTTTATCAAATATCAAAAGCCAAATCAACTGCTGAACTGTATCCCTTGTGCCTTCACAGCTTGCGGCTGTTCCTCATACAGGTTTATTAAAAAGGCAGTGTTAAACATGCCCAGCAGGATAAGCTGTCTCATCTCCTTTGCATGACAAGCAGAAGCTCCAGTGCCCAGTGGCAGTTCAGAGGTTCACCTACAGAACTATGTATTGGGAGGGACCTTAGATTTGGTGAAATGGAATCCCTCCCGTTTCCTCCAGGAGGCATTATCATGTTCTGAAAACAGCAAGCAGACACTTATGGAGCTTCCAGGCCTTTTACACCAGCTTTACCCTTACAGCAGTTTGATCTGCCCTAAATAAATACATTTACTTGTTCACTTACCCTGCCACCTGAAATCTGTTTCGTTTACTTCAGTTTTACAGGAAGAAGCAGCACCCTCTTTCTCCTCATGATCAGCAGACATTCTGCACGCAGTCCTCTCCACAGTTTCCACCTTCACATCGTGTTTTGTGTCCAATTTATCACTTTGTTTATCAGAGCTCTTCCTGCTTTGTTCAGCTGAGCTATGTGATAGTCCTTCTAACAAAAATTAGAATCATTAGTGTCCAGTACCATTGCTTTTTTAATGCAAAGGATAAAGCTCAACTAGACAAAACCAAACCCTGAAGAATCAATACAAAAATTTACTTTAACATGGGTGTTATCATTAAACTCATAAATCATACTATTTCAGATGCTAGTGCACATGGACAGACATAGCGATGTAACTTGCTCTGAAGTTATGTCGTGTTTTTGACAGCCTCTGCTTTAAAAATAAAGTTTTATACAGTACAACAGATGTACCTCTCTTTATGGTACAAGAATGTAAGTTTGAAGTAATCTCAGGAAATCTAGCAGAATTAATTCATGTTCATTTTTGCTTTTCCTAATGGTAAATCCATCTCTGAGTCTGTGGAAATAACTACGGAGTATTCTACATGTAGATCTGAAATTACCTTCCTATTATAGGAAGCCAAGAGCGTCCTTATTAACAACTTAATCTTTTCCATTGATTTCTCTGGACTACTGTGCAGTACCAGACTGTGGCAATAAAGGAAGAAAGATTTTCTCTGGTCTAGTCCTTGGATCACCTGTAATCAGCACATTCAAGCAAGTAAAAGGGCTGTTGCTCGAAACATACGCTGAGTACAGAAGCACATGGAGGGGTTTTGGTGATTGCTTCTCAGGAGTCAGCAGTAAAAAGGAACATGCACGCAGCTGTTAAGGTAGATTTGGAGAGGAAAAAAAGAGAAGCAGGGCAGTATAATCTACATAAACCCCTCTGCTGCCAGAGGCTTGGGAAAAGAGACTGATTCTGGAAGAAAAAAACAGCCCTCTCCAGCACACTTAGCTAGACCTGCATGACACTTGGGCTCACACTGTAGAAGAAAACACAGAAGGTCAAACTCAATTCAATTCTTGGAAGAATGACATTTTTACTGTTACCATGTTTCATTCCAGCATTGGACTTCGTTGTGCCAGGGTGGAAATGCATCCCTCCAAAAGTAGAGTATCCATATGAAGGATAACTGAAGCCTAAAGAAAAGAAGAAGATGATTAAGAATTAATAAAATTACATCCTAAAGCAATGAAAACACCACCTAGGACAATGTGAAGCTAAAGAAGTGGATTTTTGTTTTCTGCACATCTTCTGCTTTATTCCATCCATTTATAATAAATTTTCCAGGCTAAAGGTGAGCTTTCCCCCACTTCTCCAGAAATCCAAAGAAATTCTAGATTGGCTAGTGACACTCTCTACCCCAATGTGTTTAGGACCACACAAATGTAATATCACTATATGCTTCATCTGAAACTCATCTGAGACATCACAAGCTGCCTCTATGCTTCTGATTCTTTGTGACCACAATGGATTTGTATTTTGGTGTTATGCTATAGATGTGCTGCAGGCAACACATGTAACAGTTCGAAAACTGCTGCTCTGTTCCCTGCTCTAAAAAAAGCGCTGTTGTTCAGATGACATTTGCTGGTCTATAGGTTTTTTAATGCTCTGCTGCAAGAACCAAAGCAATGCTGTTATGATGCTGCGGATCAGATACACTCCAGCTTCAACAGATGGAGCAAAAAATTTACTAAATAGTATCTCCAATTTTTTAATAGTTCTTTGCACTAACAGGGTTAATTTGCCAAATACCACTAGTGGTCCAAGAACAAATTCAGAACCTGTTTAATTTTCAGCATCCAATACAGCACTTAACTGAGCTGTCTCATGAATTTCGGTGCCTCCAAGGCCACAGGAAGCAACAAAGCTTCCAAAGTAGGAAAGCAAAGGAGATGAGGAAGTGTTTAAAAAGCAAGGAGATGCGTGATTCAATTGAGTGACACTATTTTAAAGGCAACAGAGTCAAGTCTTATCTACCTAGAAGGAGACAGAATCCTCATCACGTTTTAAAAATCAGAATAAACATCTATCCTGCTCTCTGAGTAGAACTCCTTTCCCTGTTCACGTGAAAAACCACTGCCTTACCAGAGCCAGCACCGCCACCTCCCCCTCCATACATGCCACCACCTCCGGTGCCACTGCCTCCACCATAGCCATCAGAGAAGTTAGGCATGAGCTTCTGTCGTTTCCTCTGCACTTCTTCTTTATCTGGGATGGAAGGAACAGGCAGGAGAGGGAGTCAGTCCTACTGACCACGCGTAGCACAGATGTTCTTACAGAAAGCATTACTACAGTTTACTACTTTAGAAAGGAAAATGCGGAGTGTGGTGAGACGAGTCAACTTTCTTCAAACTCCAAATAACAGAATCTAAACTTTGTATGTACTGGAGCAGTGAGAATTCCTCAGAGAAACAAGCTAGTGCCAAGTCCCCAGTCAGGGGATCATCAGCATCGCTGGAGCCTGTGTTGTCTCTTCAGTTGTGTCAGTGCCTTGTGCTCAGACTGCAGGGGACACATGCAGAGATGCCTTAGGGGGCTCGGAGACTCCTTCAAAAGTATCTTGTGTACTTAGAGCCCAAGAAATCAGTGGTCCCAAAATTCTTCAGTGTCTAAGCCAAGTCACAAATTGGCACAAGTGCCCCAAACCACAGACTTACTCAAGAAAAATTTGTCTTTGGGGAATGTAAGCACAGGCTCTTCTACTAAGCAAATCTACTTAAGAATTGGACCCTTATCAGAGGTACCTGCAGTGCCCTCTGAACTTTCGTTTAAGGGATGGCGAGAAACAGTGAAAACCATGATTGTTTGAAATGATTTACTTAAAATATAGTAAAAGCTCCTAGAACAACCGCAGCTTATTTTCACTCAGGACATAATCCTGTCAAACCATGCTGAGCAGCAGTAGAAAAAAAAGCCTGAATGTATTTTATAGTGTAAGTTCAAAATAAGACTTAGCCCCCCGGGAATGCAAAACACGAAGATTTAAAAGGACTACGGCAGTGACTTGGAAAAGTGAAAATGTCACGACAAGAGCTACAGAAATAGAGACACAAACATTACATGGGTTAAAATCCAGTAGAACTGTTGAGGAAAGAAGAAAATACGATTTGTTTATTAAACTATCTAGTAGCTTTCAACAGCCATATGACAAAAAGAAATGTCATGCACAGGCACAATGAGACAGCTGAACACATGAAACAGTACACTGAAAAACACATGTGCATTGTTTCCTGGCATACATGATCTGTAAGTACATATGCATGCACACATCAAGCATACTCACACTGACGAGGACAGAAAACTCTAGAGAGCAATCTGGTCAGAGAAACAAACAAAAAAATCCACATATGTATGTCTAAGTTTGTGCGAACACTTGCAACGAGGGAAAAAATAGTTCCTAAATGGTAATTTTATCATTAGGTTGTATAGGGGATCTGAAAATGGATATAATGTTCAATTAATTTTATTCAATTGAGAGACACATAAAAGAGGTTTGCTTTAAATCTGGTAACTTGGCTCTGCAGTTGTATACGTCACTTCCCATAATGCTTATGCAAGAGGTTCCTGAAATCATCACCAAGAAGAAATCCTCTGGCAACTCGGAAGGTTCTGTGAATGCATGTTTTCTTCTATTTTAGTAAAGCAGGTGTAAAGTAGACTCACTTGGACATTAACCACCACACCTCCCTCTCCAGCTGTCCTGAGTCCCTTACCACTGATGCTTTTAGACACACATATTTTAGAGATTTTGACAGGGAACTGATTTCAACACAGCTCTAGGTTAGGCACAGAAAACATAAAAAACATTCTGGATTAGAACTTAATAGTGTAACCTGCAGGCAGGTAAACTGTTAAGCAGAAAGACTGTCTGAACACAATGAAACACCAATTATGACTTGGGCCTCAAGGCATTTCCATATCACTAACATTATTGGTATTTAAAACCATGATTGCTCCTGCCATTTACATCAAACATTTCAAATGCAAACTTCAAAGGGCAGAGATCTGCTAGTTAAACTTCTTTTCAGTAATAATTAGGAAGCAGGCCCAATACCAACTATTCTACTTCTTCTAAGTAACTAAAACGTTAAACACAAGAGATTGCAACAGCACTTTCCCTGGTCTCACAAGAAATGTCTCGGTCTTATTTTGACTAGTACTGGCAATTGGAAAATTCAAAGCCATCAGTGACACTGACATGATGGTACAAGGTGAGAACTGCAAAATATGTGCCTTTTTCACCAGACACCAACCAGTTTTTGGTTTAAGGTTTCAGCTGAAAGCACTGACAGTAAAATGCCCTCAGATATTACTTTGCAGAAACTCAGAGGAAGAGAGTGCCATCTACTGTATGGACAGGCTGGTGTGCGTAAGCAAGCCTCACTCAGAAAATATTTGTTGGTTTACTGCCTACCAGTCCAATAAAAACACCTACAAAGCCATTACAAAGCTACCACGCTTCTTATTGGCTCTGCCCAAAATTAGGAGGCAAATATAATATTTTCTAAAAACAACAACTAAAAAAAAAAAAAGTCCTCATCCAGCAAGTCTTAACTTCTTAAAAACATTTCTAGGGACCCTACTCGTTTCTGCTTCCAATATATAAAACAGGTTTAATGAATTACCTTTAATTTCCGGGTAGTAGAGGAAAGGCTTCGGTTCGCTTGTTTCCAGATCTGATTTCCTACGCAGTTGCACAAACACAGACGCCGGCTTTGTGATATTGACATCGCGATACTTGGGGGTTTTGAACACAATAGCAAACTGTGAAGGAAACAACAGGACGGTAACTACCATGGAGCATGGGTTTTGACAGCTTTGTTTTTAAGTCTGCACTGTTTTGTAGGAGTTGATTTACAGCTTGGGAGGCAAAAAGTTGTAGCAAAGGGCTGTTACAACAATAAACTTCCACTGTAGTTTTCAGTTTCACTCCTGAGGTTGAGTCCTAAGGCCTTCAGGGAAAGACAGAACTGTCGTGCAAAGTACCATCCCATCACATATGTTAGTACTGCATTGTTTGTCCCCTTATCATTTAGCATCTATTCTGTGGCTTTCTCAGTGTGTTCACAGGAGCTCTCAGAGCTGTTTATACATCGTATCCCAATTTACACTGGTGCATGTGCTATCTCCCAATTTCCTGGCATTGTATTCCCAACCTGCATAGTTACCTAATGTAAGTCTTTGAAGAACTTAAGTTTGTATTGTTACTAGGAAGGAACCAGCCAAAGAAGAGGTCAGTACATGATACAGATGCTTTTACCTCATTTACTAACTATAATATAATCCTAGTTTACAGAGAAGAGAAAATCATTGCCAAATGCTGTGTTACTTACCTGTCTATGTACATCTGTAGGAGAAAAATCTCCAAAGCCTTCCCACATACCACCATTCTCATCCTCTTCATAGAAACGTATTTGAATATCATCTGCAAAGAATGAAAGAAGCACACTTTGGGATGTTTGTGCATTAGTTTAACCTTTGGCTAAGTTTATTTCAGATAAAAATCAACATGTTTATTTCTTGGCTGGATGACAATATTACACAATACTTCAATTAGCTTTATCCATTTTATGAAAACGGCAGAAATAACCCATTTTTGACACCAGTGTTAGTCAGCCTAATTGTAATGACTTCACTGAAGTTGCTACTTACTGAGCTGTGAAAACAGAACTAGGTTCACTACCTCTTCCTATTCTAGGGCTATAAAACATTCCAGAGGAGCTTTATTTGGAACCAACATGTAAGGAGGGGAGAACTTGAAGCGTGAAATGTAGAAACCACCCTCTCTCCTCCAAGAGTTTCAGTTCAAAAAAACTGTAGCAAAACCTGAAGTGCCACGGTTCAAGTTCCGCTTGCTGCTGGCAGAGTGCCACTTCGGAGCTGCAGCCCAGAGAGGGTGTGAGCGAGCAGCATGTCAGCAGCGATCCTTCACCCTCCAAACACAGCACAGGCCAGAAACACGTCATTTGGCTTTTGCTCCTCTAAACAAATTTTCTTTCATTCTCTTTGTATTTATTTATTTATTTATACTTTTTTTGAGAAACGTCACGCTATGGCAAATTCCTTTCCCGGCACTCCTGGCGAGTAAAAAACTAGAAAAAGCCCATTCTCTCTCAGGGTGACAGGCTCCTGGAGCAGACAGACTGCTTGCTCTGATCCAACACCAGCTAGTCTCAAGACTGTGAACCACCAGTTCCAGTCCTGCAATCCTGCATGCTCAAGTTCCTTCAGGCATGAGGTTTCTGAAAGCAGTGAGGTCAGGGGAAACCCCGATCTGGCTGAGGGGAAACCCCACCGCAGGGCTTCCACTGAGTCAGACATTTATTTATTTATTTTGCGCACAAGAGCTATATTTTATCTCGGTCCTGATGGCAAAGGGTAGATACACTACTGAAGGAAAATAGTTTTTTCAAAGTCCCTTCTTTTAGGAAGCCCCCAAAACCCTCTCTCTTTTCTAAGCCCCTGGAATTCCCCAAAGCGCTCTCTCTTCCCTAATTCATAGAAGGGCATTTGCAAGAAAGAGAGATGGAAAAGGACAGCCTGCCTTAACAGAAAATGTCAGTGTGACTTTTACAACATGTGCAGTGACTGATTCCAAACAGACAAGAACAGGACACCCACTCTACCATGCAATCTACATCAGGGAGTCCCAAGCACTGTCTGTACCTGAGAAATGCAAAGGATTTCCCTTGTTCCCACATTTTTTCTTTTTAGTTTAGCCCAAATACAATCAACCATGTAAACCATTATCTTCCTATACAAAAACAAAGCATCCAAATCCACACAGCCAAATTCTGACACATTCAAAGCCATGAGAAGAGACTGAAAATGAACCTATGAGAAGTATGTTTACATAGAGTAATCTCTACTGTCAGCATTTACATAAAAATGAAGTTACTAGCAGTAGTGTTGAACGCATTAAGTTCCCATCCATGGGAAACAGAGAATGTTCATACTTATTCCTTATAATCAGGAACTTAATGATAAATCAGAAAATTTAGAATAATTCAGAGCAGGTGTTAGTTAACAGAGTTGAATGTCACCCAGGACCCACCACTCACAAAAAAATCCAGAATATGGGCAAGGGCAAACTCTTGACAAGAACAGCAGTGATCACATGATCTCTGTGGAGGCAACACAAGCTGAATTTGTTTGCAATAGACTATTTGATTTACTAATGTTTTTGGGCTGCTGGCCTGACTTCCAGAAAGGCTGAGTGCTTACAAATCTCGTTGCACTATCAGAGTGGGAAAATACTAAGGCAGCACAGCAGGCTTCACGTGTACTCCACTTGAACATCCCAATGTGCCTTAAAATACTCAGGACTCTTACCTTTCTGAACCTTGTCACAGAGAAGGTAAATCTCTTCCCCTCCTGTCACACACCCTGCTGTTCTGTCCATTCTTACGATTTTTAAGTTGGAGGCATTGGGAGCTTCTGTTGAAAGGGAAGATTAATAAAATGCTTAACTTCATAACAGTTAAGGATTTCAAAAAAAAAAAAACAAACAAGCAAAACACACAGAAATGCAATAGAAAGACAAGCCTCCAAAACAACCTACTTAAATTTGTCTGTGTTTCTTTTTAACATGAATAAATCAACAGCTTTTCATATGAAAGGCATAATCTTGTAAGCTCTAAGCTTCGCCTGAACTGTGAACTATAAAATAAGGTCCATAATTACTGCACTAGCAAAGTAGCCCAGCAGTGAACTGCATCCAGCACCCTGCACTAGTACTAATTTTATGACAAAAGGGCAGTACAAGAGAACATAGCTTTTTCTTCCCTGCCTGACACTCTTGAGAGCTGTTTTCTGCATCTCTTTGCATACAATGCTTTGCTTTATAGTGTGGTTTACTTGAAAGCATGTCAGTTTTTGGCCAGTATACTGGACTGTGATAAAAAAGCCCATCTCCGCGGATCCTAGCAGAGCATCAATAAACAACTATTGGTCCTCCAGACAGAACTATCATCTGATAAGTAAAAGCAGCTGTGACAGGCAGTTATGCTATCACAAGTTGTGTCTGTTGTGTGAAAGAGGCTTGAATGGTACCAAAGAAGAGTATTCGAAAAAATAAAAACAGACAAACCCCAAGAAAAATCTTCTGAAATTAACAACTAAGAATTCCCTTTGGGAGATCGGAAACTAGTAACTCACATTTGTGTGGCAACCTACGACAGCAGAGACGTGCTTACAAAATTTCCCGTTATTTGTCTCCTTAGTTGAAGTAAAAATTTTTGAGATCACTTCATTTCCCAATTAATAGCAAGGAACAGACGTAGTAGAATAGCTGCATTTCATACCTTTTCATCTAGACTTTGCCCTTAAAAAGCAATCATATAGACATGACTGTTGCAAAAGAAAAAAAATGGTACTTTTTCTGAGTCATTACAGAATGACTACCAGGAACATGGTAATCCACAGCCTCAGGGAGGAAAACTCAGGCAGCAGAAAGGATTCAGGTAAAATGAGTCAGTATAATCGAAAAGCACAAGGGAAAACATGAAGTGAAAAGATTCACTTAGAAAAAAGACAAACAGAGGGATGTAACAGAAGTATAAAAACCACTGAGAGATCTAAAGGAAATGGATTGAGAACTTTGGTCGTGTTAGGACAAGCAGATGGTCAGCAAAACTGAAAGGTGTCAAATTGTCAACAAAGTCTGAAGCAAAGTAATTTCTTCCTCACATCCCGCGTGACGAGGCTTTGTCGCAAAAAGCAACCGAAAACCGCAAAATTCAAGCCCTTCTTACGAACGTAACAAGAATTTACAAAATCCTCATAATAAAAGCGGCAGGATTAAACATGCTAAGAGCAAAATAAAATATTGCTCTGTGGCTTACCTCACCACCCTTTAAAAAATGGAGTGATGCTGTATGTACTTGGACAGACATGGGGCAAACAACAGGCAAGCAGCAGCGCTAAATGAGTCTACGTATAGCAACATCTACCTATCATTTTTGTACGTCCAAAAGCCTGCCCCTCATTTAAAGATAACTAACGCCAAATATACTCACTGCTGTCATATATTGCATCTGATATAACAGGATCAAGTTTCCGTGTGAAGCTGCCATTGCTGTCAGGAAGAAAGGCTGTAAACATGAGACGCACGACACTGAGATCCATTTCTTTAGTCTGCTGTATCGCTGCCTGGCGGATAATTTCTCTCTCTCGCTCTGGAACCGACAAGTAGACAGATGAAGTCACACACAAGGGGTAGGGGACCCATAACAAAACAGATGGAACAAACACTGCTATCAAAAGGCACTAACCAGTGAGGAAATGTGTTCTTTTACACTTAGTACCCGTCATGTTCTCTCTTTTTAACCTATTCAAATTATACTGCACTCATAACACAGTTTGTGCATCACATCTTACTCAAGCTAAGGCATATAATTAATAAAGACAGAAAATTACTATTTGCTGCTCTCAATTTATAATGGTTGCGAGAAGGACAAAGGTCACCACTAAGGACACTGGAATTCATGGTGTTAAAAGTGATAAAAAGAAGGATGTCTCCTTTATTCAGTACCTGAAAGCAACACAGACCACAGGTTTTACAAGGACACGGGTGAAATGCAGCTGAAGGAAAGAGTGTTCTCGAAAGGAGGTCCCTAAGTTAATTAAGGATATCATGTCTTTCTGCAATAGTGCAAAATTACTCTATTTAATGGCTTATTAAAGAGCTTAAGAGCAATGGAATACAGGTGCAGAGGTGGGTACAGGAAGCTATGGAAGGAAGTTGCTCCCTTCTCATGTGTGTGTTGACAGCAAAGACTCTTTGTTTCAGGCTCCCTAAAACACAGCAACAGCACAACAGATCTTAAAGAACATAGCCCTAGGCTGTTTTCCTACCCAAGAACCTGTGTTTGAAGAAGCTCAATCGGTTTTTAGTAAAAGACCAATTAAAACAAGGCCATCATTTCTACATACCAGTTAGCTGTCTGTCTCCACATCCTTCTGCCTGCAGGTAGCCGAGTTCAGGATGCACCAGGAGTCCAGGGTTGTAACCCTTCTTGCAAGCATCTATCATGCGTGTTTCCAGGGTTTCAAACACTTTCTTCTTCGTGACATGAAGTATTCCAAGATTTGCAAACCTGCCAAATTTCAATTGAGGAAGGTATTTTCTCAATACTTTATGCCAAACCTGCAGCAGGCAGTCCTTCTGTTACCAGAGACAGCTACACAACTGAAGTCAAAAGAAGGGCTCTGCAGGCTTGCTCAGGCACTATTCGTTCTTGAGGGTAAATTCTCCATCAAGAAAAACAGAGCCAAGCTTACAACACGTGTAAAATGTGCACCATCTACATGGCAGTGATCTTATGGGTGCACGGGATTTTTCTATGGCATAAGTAGTAATTTGTCAGATTTCAGACTTACTCTGTGAAGGCAAAATACAAAACATTGGAAAATCTGGTTGCTACACTTTGTTTGCTCTGCCCTGGCAATGACATTAATATGTCATTCTGTATATCTGTTAAGCAGAGTATAAGCTCCATCTGTTTCAAATGGTTTGGTGAGCAAGCTAAGAAGCTAAAAACAGCGTAGTATTTTCCAAAGAAAATGTCTTAAACAAGGCTCTGGCCATTCAGCAAGACACTTCAGGTATCTATTTGAATGAAAACTTCCATAATGCAAGATCAGCTTTTGTAAAAATCTCCTGGCACATTTAAAAATCAATTAGGTCTGGAAGTATGAAAACAAGACAATAACTCAATTTTCATGGAGGTCAAGTGAGGACAGGAAAGCTGTTTCTAAACATCTGACATCTGATGAAAAACAAGACAGGTTAGAAAATGAGCCAAACTTTTCAAGATGAAAAGGAGCATTTAAAATAAAGCTATTTAAATTGTTGTTCTCGGTAAAGTCAGTGTACTGGGCTTGGACATCAAAAGTTACAGTTTAAAAGAATATCTCTCTCCCAACCTTCTCAGCTTTTTAAACTTCATCTTCTTCACCAACAAAGACATTCTTGAGATCACAGAACTAAAACTCACAGCCAGCATGAAACCTGATCTAAGCCTGAAAGCATAGTTGGGAGCCTCAGCTTCATTTACCGATATAAACAATTATTCTTTTAAATTAAACAAGAACAGACCAACTACAATTTCACAACAATCTTACTGCTTTAAACTTTAAAAGTTTGACTCATTTAGTATTTTCATGTTTATACATGTCTTGCATTAATTTCAAATTTAGTAATCCTACTTTCTTAATGATTTTCTCTCAATTATATTCCTATTAGTAGATTTCAACAAAAATAAAATATTGATCAAAGAAGTAATAAAAGCTTTTCTTCAGTAACTTTAGTCCCTTCTCTGATCAAAACTACTTGCATTTTAAAGAATGGGCTTGTAATACAAATTTGGACTGCACACCAAGAGATTAAAATTCTATAAAATTCTAAGTGAAAATTATTTACTTAAACCTATTTAGCTTGTTTAGGACAAATTCTACAAAGGTAAACAGAAACCCCGTTGATTTTTCTGTTTAAGATACAAACAAAGCACAGATCAGAGCACAAAGACTAGTGCTCCACATGGCTGCTCTTAGTAGTATTTCTGCATTGCTTCTTACAGTGTTGGTGCTCAGGTTTACAAAGGAGTTGACAGACTTACCCTACAACCATATCTTTAGGTCCTGCATTAACTGTGCACACTCCATCTTCACAAAATTTACCCACCAAGCTGTGAGCATGTAAGTGGACGTATTTCCCATTAGTTACTAACTGGACAATTACTTTTGCAGGTCCAACGTAATTGCAGATCTGTAAACAAATACAAAAAATGTGGGATAGTTTACTTGCCTTTTTTTTATCTGAAGAAGTAATTCCAGTTGAGTATTTTCTGTCAGCTTAGTACAATCAAATTTACATAGGAGAAATGTGTACGCATTTCCTCATGAAATACAAATGGCAGACTAACTGTACCAGATGATCACAAAGAAGAGCCAACACCTTTTTTTGGCAATTAAACTTGACATACAGATGGCAGAAGTAGTGACCAAAAAAGTTAAAGGAAAACATCTTCTGTTTCCTAAATCATGAATCTCAGTTTTACATTCTGACCATTTACTCCACATTGCTGTCCTTAAAATTCCATCAGAACACTGAATTCACAGTAAACACTGCCACTGTTAAAAAGCATACATAAAATGTATGTATTTAACTAAACCCCCTGCACTGTTTTGCCCAATTTGAAAAGACTTTAAAAATTTATTTTTAAACATTATGACTGGCTTAAAACATTTTGGCCTCAATGACACTTCAGGTAGAGATTTCAAGGTGAACGAATTCTACATTAACAGGTGTTTTGTCAGTTCAATACGCTACATCAACACACACTACCCAGTCCAGTAAATATCTCCCTTAAATGTACACGAGGATATATGCTAAATTCCTACCTACAATTTTGTCAGAATAAAACTATGACAAACTGTGTGCTATCATACAGCCAACTCTAGAAGACTACAAAAATTTTTTCCCCCTCTGCCATAGTTTCTAATCACCACATGTTTTTTAATAGCTTTTGAAGCTGTGATGTCAAACAATGCCTCAAAAACACACCTAAAGTTACTAATAACATACCATATTGGTAAGTTATTTGCTTTACATATATTATTTAGAACTTTACTTTCTTTCCTCACAAGTAATAATCCAAGCCAGTTACGGGTTATGCACAACTTTCAAATTATGCCGAACACAAAATTACCCCACTTTTTAAAAAGCAAACATTACCTTCCCTTCTAATTCATTTAATTAACCCTTTTATCAATGTTGGGCTTTTTCCCCTCCTCCTCTAATTTTTCTTCTAATTTGCCTTGGGCAAAGTTCTTTGTATTACAGTAGCTTATAGATCTAATCAACCAAGGCATTAAAGGATCACGATAAACATTAAAGTGATGAATCAGTGATGAACTGAATATTTAAGGTTATATTGTTGATAAAATGCTGATAACGAGGGATTGCCTCGATTTCACCACATTACTGAGTCCTGCTAGCTTCCTTCACTCCAGCTAACCCCACTCTTGAACCCATTCCATCACAGCTGAAACACTTTGCATATGTACAATGCATGCCCTCCCTGCCTTTCTATTCACTGCTAAGAGCAAAAAAAATCCCAACTATGAAAAAGCTGTTCCAGGAGGAGCAGGTGTGCAAAAGCCCTCTTGTTACTCGTTGCCTGCTAGTTAACTGTATCATACTGTTCTAATGCGCATTTTACAAGTCTTACTTTATAAAATACAAGACATGGGGTACTCAAGCTTCCCTCCTGTTTCCAAAGTGTAACCTCTGTTGGACTGAAACAATACAGAGATGCAGAATAATCACTGCTGCACTACTTCTGTAATTTACCAGCAGTGAGAAAATTCCTACGTACCTTTCACAAAGTCATCCGAAAATAAAAGGATTGCGTTTGGTGATACGAGCCACCACCACTACTACAATTAGCTTTTCAAAAAAGTGGCTTTAAAAAAAAATTTTAGTTTTATCCCCCACTAAACAAGCCCTCTCCCTGCTGTAAAGCTCCTCTGTAAAAGCACATCTTTAGCACTACATTCATTATGAGTAACACGAGTGTTCTAGCATCACAGCGGGAAAGTTCAAGACAATCCTTCATCAGCTGTAGAAACCACAGTGAAACTGGAGGTAGGACTGCTGCACGTCAAGGACTTTCCGGCCTCTGAAAGCAGAACGCAGAAGTGCAGTGGTAACCAGATTGCAATCTCCCCCCCCTTGTTACTCAGCTCAGCATGATCTTTTGTAGTTTCTCTCTCAGGGGGAAAACAAAAGGGTTCTTAGAATGTAATACCTTATGTAGGTCATTAGGCAAGAAAGGACGATTCTTGTCATCCAGTCTGATGTCCTATGCTGCAAAGGCATCAGATGTCCCTGAATTGTCCCCTGCCTACATTTCTTGTAGACAGACTTCCTTACTTGATTTTGAGACATCCAGGGTATCTTGGTGCCCAGCAAAACAATCTGAGTGGTTAAATATCCTCATGTACCATAAATTAGGTCTGAAATAATTTTCCCATGTCTTCGAATCATGCCGCAATTTCAGAATAATTTGAAATTTATTCTGGCATTAAGGTATACAAGTAACTATCACCTTTTACCTATGAACTTAAAAAACATTGTCAAATGTTTTTGAGGCATTAAAAGGTAGAAGGTATGTTACAATGCTGAATATCTATAGAAACATAGGGATTATGGTGTTGACAAAAAAACATATGCTGAGCATGGGAGGGAGATAGCAGGTGAGTGCTGTATAGCTCCAAATCAGGGTTGTGATCCAAAAAAATCACCTCCTGATCTCCAAATTAAAGGTGAAGCAAAAAAATGAAATTAAGGAGTTCCTGGGAAGAGTATAGCCGTAATACTTGATTACATCCTGTAATGAAGCAGCATTCAATTGATCTGATAAAGTTAAAATGCTGCAGGCTCACACTTATCTGCTGTTTCTGTTTGAGAGATTTGTCTGAAAGATTAAAAGGACCCTGTGAACTCGAAGTTGAGTCACTTTCAAACCAAGAGTTTAATGTTTTTTCAGTTATTTCACATCCTCCTGCAATCCAGACCCCAGCCAATTTTCATAGTTTCTGAAATTTTGCAAAAACTTTATAAGAACATTTTCCTACTTCAAAGATGTTTTTTCCAGTTACTCTTACAAGCAAGAAATGAAACCAACCGGTCAACAACAGAAAGCAAATGATGGAAAAGACCATGTGAAACCTACAAAGCCAGCAACTACAAAAACACCTATTTCTTTCTAATCACGTTGTTACAGCAACTCCACTATTTTCAGCCTATTTTCACACCTAAAACTGGATCAAGCACTTCAGTATGAAACATGGGTATATCCACACTAATAACAGCATGAAAAGATCAAAACAGACATGGTAAACTTGTAAGGCCAGTAGAAATTTTCTGTACAAGTTTTCTCACATTTTTTTCAAGTACATAAAAGCAAACTATAAATAAAAAAATGTAGATAGTTAAGTAAGCTGGTGATAATATTTGACTTTCTGGTTTTATTCTTTCTTATACTACTGATTGGTCTTTCCCCCTGGACAAAAAGCTAGTGACAAACAAGCAATTCAGAAGCTTTGATTTCAGCTGTTCTAGACAGTAAAATTTTCCAGCATTGTGTTACTTGCACTAAGTGGATGAAAGTGAAATTTAAATGAAGAATTTTAGGTAGCCTTCTACTGCAATCATGAAACGTATCTTCATTATAACACAATCATTATCTACAACTTCTCTGCTCTCCATAGTAACATGTAAAGTTGTATAGAATCCTCTGAATATGCAAGACATTTTCTACATATTAGGATTACTGTTAGCAAAGAATGGCCTAAACAAAGGAATATAATTCCATAAACCATAAATGAATCCCCTTTTCATATCATAAAAAAATACTGCTGTTACCTATACTCCATTTGTCAGGACTGTTCCATTACAACGAGAGATCTTACATCAATTCCACCTTGCTGTCCAGTGCACATTTGATTTAAGTGTAAAGACTGGCACTGCAGAACTGCTACACTAACTCCTGACCTACACCATTTACAAATATAGTACACAGGAAGTTGCAACATACATAATTAACTACCAAAACATCTTGTGTAGAGACATAGCAAAGTCTTCAAAACCCTAGCCTTTACATGAAAGATGCATCTTGATGTGTTCCAGCTCAACTACAAGTTAGTGACGGTGCAGGGAGAAAAAACAATGGTGAAGTTGAACAGCCCACATTATGCAAGAGGTCACATCACATTAAATGTATTTTCTTTCAGCCTTCAATCCATAATCCTACAAAAACAGAGTAGGGAGGCTGCAATGCTTTTTTAGTGCAATAAATTTTCAGGACATTCCATGGTAGCTGCTGGTAAAATATACCACTTTTCTGCACAGAGTTGGCCGAGCAGAAAGCCTATCCGAACGTGAGTGGTACTGACCACACCACGGCCAAGGTTTAAAGATCTGTCACAAAACCTCATTTTTTTACAGTACAGCCAAAGCTCACACTACTGTCTTTTCACTGCACTGTGATCAACTAATAATGGAGGTTTTATTGTGAAAACACTGGCACAGGAGTAAAAAAAAAAAAAAAAACACAAATCAAGACAAAAAATCCCAACACAACAAAAAATAGCAATCTTCAGTTGTGCTGCCCTCAGTTATGACAAGGTGAGCACACTGACAAAACAGAGAAGAGACTTACAGGAAAAGGTGTGAAACGTTTCTGTCTTTACTGGCACCGCTTGAATCAAGAACAGGCACTAACAAGCAATGGCCTTGAGGAATTTACTTGTTGTGTTCCCTTGCCAGCCTCTCCCAGCAGGTGTTGCCATGTGGGGATTTGTACTAGCAAAAAAACCCAGATGCACACAGTAGTACGGGAAGGAGGGGAAGGGACGTGTGTGTTTTGTGGGGGGGAAGCTTTAGATAAAATTAAAATCTGATGATCAATGAAATTAGAAGGTTTGATGGAAAGCCAAAGAACATTGTGCTTTCTAGTTTCCTGTATAACTCCTCATTGCATTATCTCCTTGTCATGCTATTGTGCGACTGATCACACCTTTATAAAGTATCACTTGCATCATTATCAATACAGATTGGATTGGAATCCGAGGATCAGGCTCAGTTGAAGTAAGTTATTATCTGAACATACCAGGGAAATTTCATTCATTGGTTCATCATTACTATCAAAATAGGAAAGAAGAAAGCAAGTGGATCATTTGCATGGGCTAGTAATTTTTCACAGGAGCTTTGCAAGGATATATGAAATCAGCTTTCCCAGTTTCTTCTCAATTTGCAAGACTAACTGCCTGGGCTACCTCAGCCAATGCTGATTATTTTCCATTGAGTCATGCTTATACTGATTCATTATGGAGATGCAACTGTTCCAAATCCCAGCCTTTCCCAAGAACTGCAGATGAACTGCACACACACTGAGGAGTGGCACGCACCAAGGCAGAGGTTGATTGTGTGCCACTCTTCCCTCCCCTTCTCTCCCCATAAAGGGGTAAGAGATAACACCAGAATTAAAATACATTAAGAATAACACCAGAATTAGAATACATTAACCCTGCTCCTCGTGAGACAATCTGTAGTGCAATAGTTCAAAGACATAATGTAATAAGACCAAGACTTCCATTTAAGTTAAAAAATATGGAAAAGATGCAGTGTACATTTTCCCAACTTCCACAGAAATAGAATTTGCTGCAAGAACCATAGGCAAAGTTGCCCAATCCCAGAATGACTAATCGCTAATATTCATACTGTGCCTCCACAGAACATTTCTTTGATTAAGACATTTGAATTTTTCCCTTTGATTAACATATTTGAATTTTTTCCAGGGGGAAAAAAAGAAATCCACCAAAAGAGTTCAGCCAACACCTGAACATAACTCTGTTCCTACTAAAATGAGAAGTTTTAAGTTGACTGTAAAGGAGTTAAGTTCTTAAGAACAGAGTGTACTGTATTGAATAAGCAGTAACATAAACAAAAACAAAAAAGGATAACTTGGTAAATAGCATGCCAGAGTGAAGCGGAGTAACTAAGCAGCTTCGTGCTTTGCAATAGAAGTGGAGCAACTGAGGAGCTCAGGCCTTGCCTCATGCTAAAACTGCACCTTAGGGAAGAGCTCCATTGGTCTGCACGAGGGCAGCGAGGTGGTTGGTCCAGCAAAGCTTCCTGCTCAACTGCTGGCAGATAAAAACAGTGCCAAAATAACCCAACACATCTGAAGAAAACTTCATTTTCAAAATCAATTTAGTTTTGAAAGTCGGGACTGAAATGTTGCCTGTCTCGAGTACTTTCAAACAAATTTATGTTGCTATGCAGTAACTACACATACATGCAACACGTGCATTCAGTTTGGAAAATTAACGATTTATGTACTTACTTTGACCTGAGGGTAAGATTTTTTGTTCTTTTCACTAGAAGCACCAGGTAATCCACCGTGTGAAGGTCCTTCACACACGTATCGGAAACGAAACCCCCTCTGTGGAAAGAAAGGAAAAGAAACTTGAAAGGCGTTCAGAAACAAAACCAAAAGAAAAATAGCACACGCACATGTGAACATGCACACATAGAAACAAGGCTTGCCCAAATGGATAAGTTACAACTCTTCCATCCCTGAAATGCTGAGTGCTGGTTAACAAAGCAGAACTGAACTGTAGCTCTGGAGAAACTGTTCTATTCTCACTCTCACACACAGCAGCGACCTGAATTTTTTCTTTCAGTTAAGTGAAGATATTTTAAAGCAGAGATCTATTTATACTCTCAAAACAGGATAAAAACTAACATGTACAGAATGCAAGAGCAGATACTCTCTCCCATGATTGCTGCTAGGCAGACAAAATTGAAGCCAATAATAAGGAAGTCCAAAGCATCATAAAGGGAAGAATAGGGATGAAACAGAAGAAATGGTTCTTCCTTCTGGGAAAAGTGTACGAAAGCTGTATCTCCAAGTGAAGTCCAGAAACAGAACAAAAGCTTCAGGGGACTTTGGCTGGGTTTTCATCTCAATTACATAAATAGACATCTGAATATACTTCAGAGAACTGTAAGATGTTGGCAACCAGTCCAGAGTACAGCACTCCACTGATTCTGTTTTTATTTATAGGAAATAACATCCCCTTTACTTTAAGGCACAAGAGATGCAAATCTTAAGCAAGTGTACTTGGTAACTATAATGCTACATAATCACATATTTCAAGTGGTTCCCAATTTTGCTTTCAGATCTATTCTTCAGTCTTGAAATTTCTGGCAAAATCCCCATCTTATATAGTGGTTCCCCGTGTCTGTTCAAACAGCATCAGTTAGTGTGGTACCCTTTGTCAAGAGTCATTCATTCAGCTTCTCTCTCATAGAAGACAACTCTGAATTCAAAATCTGCATTAGCTGAAAGCAAACAACATGATTTAAAATTACTCTGTAAACATTAGCTTCCAATACCTATCTCACTAAAGCCTTTTCAGGTTAAGAAACTTGTTTCCCAGGCTAATCTAAAGATCTGACTTTCCTTCAGATGCTGACCAATTGCCTTCCTGAGGTGAACTGAGTGACCAAGAGTACTGCAAGTGAAGTGCCCACCTATGATGACCTTCACCTCAAGTTGTGCAAAAGGCAAAGCAACCTCTGCAGTCAGGACCCAGGAGATGATGCCTCAGTCTCTCTTCACCTTGATGCCTTCAATCCAGCAGATCCAGCAGTCACCCATGAGGTTTTCCTCAGTCTATCTTTGCTATCCTAGCTATATTTTCACACACAGAGTCTTACTCCCCTCATCTGTCTGTTCTAACAGTGATCATAAGCTCATCACTCTTCTGATGAATCACTCTCATCACCCTGTTCATACCACTGCCCAGCTTGCCACATGGGTATTCCACAAGAGGAGCCACTTGCTGAGAAGTCACACATGGAAACAACAGTTTCTCCTTACATACTGTGTCCTGTCAGCCCCACCATGCAAAGGCATGGTCTGATTTGGAATGAACTAAAACAACAAGGAAGAGGCAGTGTTTTCTTCCAAGAGTTCACAGGACACTGCTGTTTCACTTCTGACTGTGATGAAGAGTCCCTAACACTGGATGTATGCTCAAGCACAAAAACGTCTTTGCTGTGTGGTTGAAACCAATGTTCACCACTGCATCCTGCCAGGAAGACTGGATTGTGTTATGCTCTTGTAGAAGACCCAGAGGAGGGTGGGACAGCTTTTAGCCACCCTCGTCTTCTGTTGACTGAACAGCTCTGTAAGGTAGGATTTTATGTAACTCATTGGGGCAGACAGGAAGCCTCCATACTGTAACAGTTTCAGGAAGAACCCTTGTAATTGCTGGTGCCACCACAGCTAAAGGGGAACAATACCCAGGCAATACCTGGGGGCAATCTTTACTTTGTACATCAGTTGCACGAAAACTAACCAGTGAATTGGAATAACTTCTCTGCTGTCAGAGGAACATAAGCCAGTGTTTGCCACATAGTCAGACAAAAAAGTTACATTCAAGTTCATACCTTCATTTTTCTTGGATTATTCAAAACAGACAACCACAACGAAAGGAATCTCAAACAACAACTGAATTTCTTTAATGTGACAAAGCAGGGGTCAAAAGTTCCTGTAACCTGGGAACAGAGTGAAGTGTTCTGCTTGTGTTTCAAGAAACATGAAACATATCCTAAAAATCTTCCATGTTTGGTCTACTAGTTTATATTTCCAAATACTAGGGTACTGTAAGAGTCACTTCTGAGATGATAAGTCTATACTTAGGAAGACATACTTTTAAAATCCTTGGGGTTTTTTAGTATTATGACATTTCTACAGAGACACAAAGATGAAAACAGAACAAAACAGGAAACCATTTAACTACAAGAGTTAAAAATCCTCATGTTCAAGTGCCACATTTGTTCTGAGAGTTCAGCCGTTTCTGTACTCTTTCTTTCTTGTCTTAAATTTATTCAAAGCTGAATGTAGTAATTCGTTTTCAAAACGTAACCTTGTTCTTACCTGTTTTGGCTGTTCTATGATTTGAAGATACGGTCCGTCTGCTAATATAAAAGAAAGAAAAGTATTAATAGAAATTATATTTTTATTACTATGACATATAAGTTGCAGGGGCACATCCTTGAATGTCTTGAGATAAAATTTTTGAAAGCACTTAAGTCTCTTCAGAACTTAAATTTCAATAAATAATTTAGTCACTTGGCAGTCTGTCCTTTCCAACGTTCCTAGAGACCAGTGGAGTAAGAAGAGAAGGATTAACTCAAAAAAGTTAATTTTAGCTCAGAGGGCCTAAATGGGCAACTGATCACTCAGTTAAAATTTGCAAGGGTGAATAAGAACAGGATCCTCCCCTTGCCACTGACAAGCAGCCTGGCCTTCTTGAGATGAGGTTAACTTTTGTATTTAAACCCCTTGGGCTCTAAAGACTATACTCACAAGCTTTTGGCCCTAGGGCTTCCTACTGAATAGGTGCTTTCGAAAGTCTGGAGACAGCCAATGGGAAGCTCTGAGGTATGGGAATACAGGAGGAATTCAAACTGCCTCAACATGCCCTAACAGTCAAGAGAGTTGCTTTAAAAAAATCCTGGAATTTAGAAGACTAAACAATTTACATTCTTTTAATGATTTCAGATACACTTTTAAATAAACTGTTCTGCTGTGCCTCTAAAAATTTTCAATACACTCAGTTTGATTACAGATGGAGACTCTACATTGAGATCAATCTTGAGCATGGTGCCAATACACAGGATTATGTTCTACTAAAATTCTACTTATGTCTTTTAAAGATGGCTTCCCTAAACAGCTTTCAGCCTCATACAGTGGCTAACTTTATACTATAAACATCACTTAAAATTCACTAGTTTAGATAGCCTTTGAGCAGACCCTGAATCCAATGAGAACTCAGTCTCACCAGAGTTAAGAATTCATTACCTGATCAAAGCTTAGCTCCAGCTCTGATCATTTAGATCATTTACATCAAGAAGTAAAGCCCTCTAGGTGGATGGCTGTGAAATACCCCTTCAAATGCAAGTCACTTGGAGTCTGAAAACAACAATTCCAAAAGGGATGATTTCTTCCCTGCCTCTTCTTGCTAAGCAGACAAGAAGATCTGCACTTCAATGCTAAAAAAACCAGCTGTTTTCAAAGCAGATCCCAAACAACAGCTTCACCGTGAATACCTGCATAATATTTTACCAGTCATATTCCTGTCGGAATTATGTATCACCACTTCTACTCTGCAAAGGTATTAATGCTCAGGAATCAAGCAAGCTCACTGGGACATGGGAATCCTCCGAAGCAGACAAGCCACAGCTATGTGGCAGAGCGGGCAAGCACACAAAGCATTCCAAGCCCTGCCACATCCAGGTGTGATCTGCCTCTGAACAACTGCACCATCCTCAAGTACCCCACCAACTACATAGTAAGTTGGCTTCAGCACAGGACTACATACTTGCATGAACTTTTATTTGCCAATAAGCCTAATGTTCAGTGATAATTAAAAACAGCAAGGGATTCATTAACTTATGGTTTGTAGTATGACTACATGCATCCTTCTCAGCTCCTCAGCACAAATTCATTTTAATAAAATAGACCTTCGCATCTTTGGTCAGCACAGGTCTCAACTGAACAAGCTTCTCCCAACATGGAAGTTGTGATAAATACACCAGTAGAGGAAATTAGTGTTCTGCTGCTGCAGTTAGCTGACTCAGCCACTGAATTATCTTCATGCCAAAGTTATATTGCAAATGTCAGTCACAACAATTTCACATATAATTTCTTTCCTAAGTCCAACGTCTGTACTTTCATGTGTAAATATAAATAGGGCTATTTGAAGTCATGCAAAAAATTGCCTCAAGGCCATATACACATGACCTTACATTAGAAAGCATGAAAAACAGTTTAGAGGTCAACTTTAAAAGACGTAGAGTAATATTTAGCTTTGGCCCTATGCTTCAATTTTTGTCTGTAACAGAGTCAAGATGAACTGAGTTGGATATAAGCAATATATCAGCACTTAAAATTAAGACCTCTGTTCACAGACCTCTAACCCTCCTCATGCTTTAGGTATCTGCAATTTTATACTTTACCAACCCAGAAGCCTTGTATTTTCTGGGCACTGGCAGAAATAATGCGCCTAAAATACAACTGTGTAGTTCAACATTCAACCAATGTTGAGGGCATGACCTGCAAAGTAATTGCTCTTTGGCTGTTCTCCTCTTAGGAATTCATTTTCAAGGCATATGCATTGGGTTAGTATCTGCACAAAGTACTACCCCTTTCTCTCAAACATTAGTCAGAAAAGGAGTGTTCTTATCCCATGGCTAAGTGGCTGCAGAAGTCCCCCAGGATGCAGCAGATCCAAGTTTCAACTTTTCCTCAGCAAGAGGAAATACAGATTCTTAAGAGAGGGATATACACTATCTTGGCATATTGGAAAGCTCAAGGGAAACTGTTTATACCACTGAAATGGTTTGACCTTGCACAACACTTGTGAAAACTCAGGGAAATTGAAAACTTTGGACTGTGGTTCTTCTTTCCTCTTGGAAAAAAGTTTATGAAAAGCACACAAAGATACCAACGAAAATAAAAATAAAAATCTTACATACTAACATTAGGAAAGTGCAGAAGGATGCAGTGTGAATGTGCAAAGGCAAACTAGATGGCTGTTATAATTAATTCACATTATATAAATCATATACCAATGTATTTAAAACACAGTTTTGTGATGTCTTATTTTAACTGTGGGTTTTGTGACTAAACATTTTCTTTTACAATGACTAAGTAATTTTCTAGTATAGCACCTGAACCAGACCCAAATAACAGTACAGACAAGGCACTCTAATGCAATGCCCTTTATTACACCTGAAATGCTATTTAAAAATAAAGCAGCAGAGTTCAAGGAAACGTCCAGGCATAAATGGCATATAATTTTGATTATAGAAAGGATTTTACCCCATGCAAAGACTCATACAACTGTCTTCACTGAATTCTGTATACTTCCCAGAAGTACATTAGGCAGCCTAACATTAGCTGTGTGTGGTTCCTCTTTTCACTCATCCTTTCCCACGGAAAAAAAAAAAAAAAAAGACCTTTAGTGTTTTGCACACGGAAGTTTTTAATATTTCGTTTCTATTACTAGGCATGTCTGGTCTAAGCAGAAAGAGAGCAGGAACCTGAAGATAAACACCTTGTAAGAGAAACTAATAATGACGAGATTTGTGATGATTTTTTTGCACCTCTGTTGTAGCCTGGAAGGTTGATTGCTTCACATTCTTGTTTAACAAGCAACCCTCTTTTAAATGTTAAACAACCACAAGAAGGAACACTACTTAATGCATAGCTTAAGTTCTACTTTTGCCCTACAGAGAGGCTGAAGGCACGCAGTCACGGAGCTGGCCTCCACACAGGGATGACTCTCATGGTTGCCAAGAGCCAAGTTCTGACACGAGAGCTCCTCATGATTTGCCTGGTGTTGCTGCAGCCAGGAGGGTCAAGAATTGTAACTAAAACATGCAGTCCTCCAGCATGGAGGGGCTTTGGTGCAGACTGCCACATCCTGGGTATGCTTTAGGGCTTCTTTTTCCATCTCCTCACCTCGGTTGCCACAGACCAACTTGCATCCCGCTGCCTCACCTCCAGCCTGAGTCACAGTCCCACTTCCCCACATCTTCTTCAACTGCTAAGTTTCTTCATTTTCCTTCCTGCCTGAGTCAGAGGTCCTCCTGCCTCCTGACTCTCCCACCACTTACATTCTTTCTTCTTCTTGACAGGCCGCACCCTACACACACACTTCCAAAGGAGCACCCATCTTAGGCTCCCTCTGGGTTCCTTCTTCCCACCATAACAAAATCAAGGAAACAGGGATTCTGTAAGGTTGGTGGGATATCTCTGCAAGCCTGGCAGCACTGTGGGACTAGGGGGGTCCTTTATCTAACAGCTTAGCTATTATCTGAAGCCATTCAATTTTACCTGCAACCAGTTGCGGACAAGTCTCCCGCTCACCTCCTCTCTGTCTGTGGATCTCCCAGGACAGGCATCTCAGCCTCGTAATTGCTGTTACAGCATGGACATGGATGAAAACACTCACAGCCTCTAGGTTTTGATTGTTAAATCCTACACCAACCCTCTTGTGTCCATCCTGGCACTGGTACCTTGCTGCCAAAAGCTCAGAGTCTAGACCCAGTGCCTTATCCTTCCTGAAGGTCTGTTGTAGCATTTGCACATCCTCCCTCTCAGGGATTCACCTGCACAAGAACACACTCTCCAATCTCAGCTCTTCAGTGTTCGAAGTGTGATGTTTAAAGCAAGCAGCACATGGGCTTTGCTTAACCTCTTCCCTTAGTTCACTCTTCAAAACACAAGCACAGAAGGTCTAGAAAGAACACCAGAAACAGTATGCAAGTCTGTTCAAGTTTCTGAGGATTAGGGCCACTGCCTGGGACAGGGAAAAAACCCACACATCTTGGTTTTTGTAACAGACAGGCTTCCTTGAATCTCTAACAATAGTTCTCTCTGAAAAAATATTTTAAGTGCCTTCTTTTTCCCTCTTTGCCCCTCTCGTTTCTGAACAGCAAGCATCACACAGGGTTGGACAGAGGAGGTTAAAGAAATAGCAGAAAACTAATTTTAGCAGACTCCAGGCAATAATGTCCAGCTCCTGATGGCCCTGCTTCAACTTCAGAGGTTTAAGAACACACCACTTCATGCCAAGAGCTAGTTAGACCAGAGCCCCTAGAACACAAAAAAATTAACCAGTTCCCAGAACCACCTCTAACTGGCACACAGATTGCTATATGTTCCATGGTTGTAGATGACTTTGTATAATCAGGAGGGAGTAAGAAACATTCAAAATTATAAAACACTTTGCCCACAGCTCTGCCCATTTCCTCTCCAAAGTAAGGCACCACTTTGTCTCTCCACTGCACAGTGGACATCCCACTGATGTGCTAGATGCACTTTCACACTATCTGAATACAAGCCATGGATAATGCTCTCTCCATCCCTGACACCACTGAGGATCAGTACCTAACTCTGAAACGCAGGATACTTCCCAATGAGCCAGAGAAGAGGCTGACTTGGTGACGTACTGGCTGTGCTGCCGGTGCTGTTTTAAACACACAGATCCATCCTGTAACCTGCACTGTTATGGCACTCATTATAGATTCATCTCTTTTCCACCAAAGGCACACAGAGACAACTTCTTTTTCTAGACTTAGATGCAAATGTGGAACTTGAACCACATAACTATCTACTACAGTTTTGGAGACAAAATAAACGAATTCTAATTTTTATATTAAAACTGGCATACGTGAGAGAGAAAAAGAAGTGAGCAAAGACATTTGAGCACTAACAATGTAATTGAGAAAAATCATTGTCCCGACATCTCAAAGGTTTTCTACTATTGCTGTAAATATTAACATAACAGCAGAATGTTTATCATCAGAAAGTCCCCAAATTCCCCAGCTATTTGTTGATTCAGGTACACTGGCATGATATGGCAATCCATGGTTATATATTAAACCTGTCTGCCAATGTAATAGGTCTGACACGGTGCATTTATGAATGCACAGACTGAAAGATTATCCAACGGTCCTAGAGAAAAATCCTTTTTAGAACATTTATTTCCCTCTTTCCATGTCTCAGCTGGAAGTATTTTTGGAAAATCCCACAAGAATTTTTAACTAACCTCGCTGTGTAGAAAGACATCATTAATTAGTCCCTGCTTGGAAACCACTAAAGCAGATTACATAAATTATTATATTACCTTACAACTGAAGAGCTAGTCCACAGTAACAACACAGCACAGTTTCAAGCAGGGGAGGAAGTAGGCATCACAGTGATACTACTCAAGAAACAAATCAGCTATGGCATCATCAGATGCTGTTGAAACGATCAAGCTTTTCTAAATCTTTTTTCTGCGATAACCTCAAATGCAGGGCTCTTTACTGAATCCTACTTTGTATACAGGGAACTAGGCAGCTACAGTGCAGCAGCAAAGAGCAGTGGCACATATCAAAAAAAGGCCTTTTTCTAAGCAATTTTGCAAATTAAGGACAAAACTAGACTTAGCTCAGTAACAGTTTTCTGTGACTGCAGAACTCAGTGAATACTTGACTCCCTTACACGGTTTTGAAAACACCTGTTTTCTACTTTAGACAGGACAGGTATCTGAAAGTAAGTTTTATATAAATGAATAATTTGTGTGGAATGATCTGGCATGAGGAGTACAGAGTAAGATTAAAAGGTACATGTATGAGAGCTCCTTATGGGGAAATTTCCATAACCTTATTTGTTCCACAGAAACTCTGGGAGGACAGCGAAAAAAAATTCCTTGTATACAATGCATAAGCCATTTAATCCTACACAGATGAATCTTACAGAATAATGTTACCTGTCTTAATAAAAACACACTGCAAATAAACGATTGCAACAATTATTTGTTGGATGCTTGTCCATATTTGTCAAGAGCTTTGCTCATCAGAACATTTTATCTTGAAACAAAACTATCTGTATGATATGTGTTTCTTGATCCTACAAAACTATCTGTATGATATGTGTTTCTTGATCCTTTCTTGCTACTACTCAGTCAAGAAAACTGAAGCATGGCTTAAACAAGGAAATACTGAAACGGTAAGCATGCCTTCATTTTTATTTTAAAATCAGCATTTATTTTTACTTCAGAGTGGAATTTTCCCTATGAAGGAAAGTGCTAAATATTTATTTCATTTTACCCTTTACACCTTCACGGCTGTCAAGTGTATCAAAGATTTTAATCAGAAGTGGTTTGCACTTCCAACAAAAGAAAGTAATTGGTAATACAGAAGATACTGGCTACATCCTGATACAACAGTCAAATAGATAACAACAGAAAGTTGTCCTGTTACAAGACATTAATAGCTATATTGGAGACACATGAATATATAGAGAAAAAAACATATGAGCCTAAATAAAATTTTATTTCCTTCTTCCTTTCATATTAGCTATTCTAATAAACTAAGTAGGAAAAAAGAATTTTCCAAATTCATGTAAGAAGTAATATTAATGTAGAAATTTAATAAGCAAAACCAGACTAAGGTTGATCAAGCAGCTAATACTGACTGAGCTATAATGGACTTGTATTTCTTATTACTGTTCTTGAACCATACTGCAAGAGCTGCACATGAGACCTGTGCAGAATACTATCTGCTTATTTTCAGCAGTTTGTTGCAAAATTTGACTCTGAACTTTTAAACGAGTGTTATTATTCAGGAAATTGTCAAGTACTTCTAATACCACACTGCCACTTTACAGGAAACAGAGAAGTCACAGTGAAGGAAAAACACAGGAAGTTAATATTCTCTACATTTCATTACTGAAAAACAAGCACCTTAAGAACTACTACAACAAATGAAAGCATTCAAAAGGAAAAGAAGTACATGTTGCAGTCTGCAAACTGACAGTACCAACATGTAGGTTACTGAAGGCACAAATTTAGAAAAACAAAACGAAACCAAATAATTCATAAAATCAGGTCACTCAAAGCTCTTTGGTCACTGTGCTGGTTTGAGTTGGGAAACTTTGCTGAAACTTTCAGTTTCTGTACAAGCCAAAAGACAATCAGATTTTCCTCACTGCTGAAAGTTTCATGTGGGTAAGAAAGAGATGTAAAAAGATGTAAAAAAAAAAAAAAAAAATCTACTTGACAACTTTGCAATCTAGTATTACGAAAGACTGGAAACAAAAAAGCCTCTGAAAAGAACTTTACAAAAGGAAACAAACAAGAAGAATCAGCAGGACAACAGCAACATTAAACTGTAATGCTTCTTACCTGTTCGTATTGGCAAGTCCGAAGTGATGTAATTTGTGCTATTAAATAATGCATTCATTCCCATGAACTGATCCATTGCAAACATCTACATTGAAAGAAAATATACTCTTCATTACTACATGTATACATAATTGCATAAAGCATCCACCAGCGAAGAATTTCAAAGTTCTCTGCAAATATTGGGACTGCAAACACTTTGTTGAATCACATGAACATCTTATGGCTAATTTATTTTTGCTGGCAACAGCAGCGCAAGCAGAGCTGACAGCACTGCCCCAAGTTCCACCACTATCATGAGACCACACCAACCCCAGCAGTTTCTATACATGCATTTTGCTTACATGCACTAACAACTATATATTCAAAAGAGCTTATACAGTAAATTTTGAAAATCTGACACTAGATGTCTTGCCCAAGGCCCTGCTGAGAACCTGCGAGTTTTCATTTTCACCTCTCTGATTAAACCTCACCAGACTGCATTCCTCATGTAAATATATTGACAAGCTCTAATGCAAGAAACAGTATACCCAGGTTAAAGTTTAATTTATTTTTTTTTTTAACACTGACATGTCTTAACTCACTGTAATTGTTGTCAGGTATAAATCTATCTTCTTCCAAAGTGGAGCAAGCATAACAGAGAAAATACTTGCTCTTTGAAAATTAGGGTGAGTAGAAATGATCTGTTCTTTATTTAAACTTTTCACCCAAGCACCATTTTCACAGTTCAGATCTAATGAGATCAGGAAGAACTGATAAGAGCTAGGGCTACAGATCTGTATGAGTGAAGGAACATTTTACTCATCGATGTCAATGCAAATATCATAAACAAATTACACAAAAGGGCATTTCAGGGCATAAGGGGCTTTATTTTCAGAAAAAGTCCATTGTCCACCAAGTAGAAACTTTGCAGTAAGTGTCACAGGCAGGCAGGGCATAAAAATGAATTATTTTTCCAAATACTTATTTCAGCAGGCCTAGCTCTCCTTTACATTTCAGCCATTTAACCACTGGCAAGGCACTTTACAGGTCACATAAAGATCACCTTACGGAAAAAAAACCCCTAGATTTCCCCAGATCTGATTTCTTCCAGTGCAAAATGCTTTTATACGTCCATGTTGTTAAGCCTAGGAAATGACACAACAGTATGAGAGAAAACCTAAACAGAGAGCTAGGAGAGCATACAGGGATACTGAGAACATACAAATCCACTTACTTGGGGATCAGATACTCCCATAATATAGGAATCTTCGCCTGCCATTTTAAGTCCTGAAACATAAAACCATGATTAGAACTCCATTTTTTTTTTTTTTCAATGTACAGCAGTAGAGAAACCTGGAAAATGTTAGAGTTAAAAGCCCCATCTCTGAAACTTCTTATTTTATTCATAACTTTTATGATTTTAAAAATACTCCTAAAATTCCTCAGGATTTGGAAGGGACAATGTAAGGATAGGATAGGCTACAGCTAGGATTTTCTCTTGCCTACTCTCAAGTAACTAAAAATTATAGTTGAAGTCCTGAAGTCAAAATTTCTTCAGGCATTAATTTGTTTCTGTCTTTCCTCTGACTGTTCTGTAACTAGACTTTAGGCAAAATCATTACCATACTCTAGCAAAAGCAGGACTCTGCACTCTTACACAATAAAAAGAGCATTCTGAGCATTCACAAATGAACTTGAATGGTTTTCTTATGAAGCATTGCTAAATGTAAGGCAAAGATACCCAAAGAAGAACATCCAATACTTTTTTTTTTCATTTTATAAATACAAACAGGAATCAAATATTGACTAATTTTGGACACCTTTATTTCCAGCGGTCCACACATGCTCAGGACCCACGACAACTCGGTGCTGACAATGACAATTATGGACGTACAGCATTCCTAACCCTCTCTCACCGGTCTACATGTAAATGCTGGACACTGGGAAAGTTAAGCATGGCTTAGTTTTCCAGGGGCCAGGAGCAGAGCCTGTGAATTTGCTTAGGAATCTATAAGGTCTATTAGAAAATATTAGTGTGCATTATTTCCTCTAATGTAGATGTTCCTGAATGAATTTTGATTTCAGCTATGTTGATCTCACAAAACAAGGCTCTCCAAGGGAACATCTGAAAATAACTGTATGGCTACATCAAGAGACTCATGTCTGCAAGCAAACTAAATAAGTTTAATAACTAATAGAAGACAGAAACATGTCACTGGCCCTCATATTCCACCACACTGACCATGAGCCACGTTTTTTCCAGCAAAGCAAAGTGAACTGTGAAAACTATTGCACTATAAAACAGACTTGCAATCAGTAAAGAAAAACTGAGTCATCATGTATGTTCTATAGGAATTAGAAAGGCAAATATCAATAGGAAAATTGGAATACTTAAGTACTTCACTTTGATGGAGACTCAATTCAGCTTGTACACAAGCTCCAAAGCCAATATATAGGCACCCATCCCACACAAAGTAGAAAATGAAAAAAAAAAATAAAATTTGAGAAATAGGAGGCACTTAATACACAGATGACTTTCAGGAAAAGGAGGTTCATGTGGATAAAAGTACAAACCTGACTGTAATTCAATTTTAGAGAGAAATATTTACTGGGGAATATTTATTTGTAGCATTTGAGCAAATATCAAAGAACTAGTCGTAAGATTTCAGCCAAAAATTGGTAAGAGAGATAACAAGCAGCCAACGTCACCCATGCTGTACTTCATCACCCAATACATCAGGATTTCAGCAATATAAAAAATACCAGTCAGTCACATTATTTCACAGGCACATTCACAAAGCATTATTTTCATCAATAACTTGTTATTGTTATTATTAATCTTTATGGAAAAAGTTGAAATAGAATGCATAAAAAACCCTTCAGCATACAACAAATTTTGCTAAAATGTTTTTATTTTACTTCCTTTCCATAGAAATAAAATAACCATCATCGCAAACTGACATGTTACTGAAATCACTGAAATAAACTCTAATTTAGTTTTTGTCACACAGTTCCCAGTGAAAGGTGTCAGTATTACAGAAGACAATCTGAATACCTCCATAGCAAACATTTTTTTACAGAGTGTCAGAAAATACCTACCAGGTTGATGCACCCTGCAAATGCCATGTTTCTCCTGCATAAGCAGAATAAAAACTAAAAAGTCCTAAAAGTCTTGTTTTGTGATCTCTCATATTTAAACACTTACTATTTCACGAGTCACATATGCAAAACTGTGTTCCAAAATACCTAAACGACCCAGATAACAGAGTAAATGTCCTTGTTCCAAAAAAAAAAAAAAAAAAAAAAAAATAAATCTGAGGAGCTAATATGAATAGCATCTGCCTACTTGCCTGCTTGCTAAATGTATAGTTTGTAAAACTTCCAAAGCAAGCATCTCACAGCTTTTTCTTCAAGCCCAATAGGATAAATTTAATAGTATGTTCTATTGCCTTTCCCCTATTCCAGTTTCTCAAACTGCACCACTCTCCCCCCAGCAGAACTCTGGGAGAACAGCAGTCCTCATACCTGCTCTGCTTACTGGTCACGTCTACAGTTCTACACTACCTGACTTTCCAACAAAGTGGAAAAATATTGCAGAGGCAGTATTTCTGAAAACTTTTCATTCTAAGTACTTTGATGTAAAGATTAAATTCCATACAGAAATAAAACCTATGTCTATCTGAATCAGCCCTTCAATTTCACCTTATCGGTGCGGTCATTCCTGGCTTTTTAGCTGACGCAGTGAACAATGCCATGACAGCAAAACAGCAGCCATTAAATACGTCCCCATTGCAGTACTACATTCAGCTCTGGGGTCCTCAGCACAAGAAGGACATGGACATGGAGCAAGTCCAGAGGAGGGTCACGAAGATGCTCACAGGGCTGGGACACCTCTGCTCTGCAGACAAGCTCAGAGGGTTGCAGCTGCTCAACCTGGAGAAGGCTCCAAGGTGACCTTACAGCACCTTCCAGTCAGTACCTAGGGGGGGTGTACAGGAAGGCCAGAGAGGACTTTTTACAAGGGTATGTAGTGATGGGGCAAAGGGAAATGGCTTTAAACCAGCAGAGGGTAGGTTTACATCAGATAGAAGGAATAAATTCTTCACTTCGGAGGGTGGTGAGACACTGGCACAGTTTGCCCAGAGAAGCTGTGGATGCCCCAGCCCTGGAAGT